TGCTTGTCAGCCCGAGTTTGTTGTTTGTTTGATCATTTTGTATTCCAACACAAATATGTTTTTTTTTCTGTCTTCTTGCTGTTTTATCTCCTCATTTAATTTCACCACATCTCAAATAACAAATCTAAACTACAACCAAACAAGACCACCAAACTCAAACTGAACCAAACTTGATTCTGCTGAAGTAATGCGGACAGTCATGTTACTACGCAGCTTGTTGGAAAGCGCTTGGCGTTTTTTTTCTCAAAGAGTCTTTGTTTGGCTGCAGATTCCAGTGACCTTGCTGGACACCAAGCGGTGAGAGGGAGTGAACGAGGGACAAAGAAAAGAGAGGGAGTTGGATACAGAGAGAGAGGCAGAGAGGGGGAACTGAGGGCAAAAGGGACAGAAGACAAGAAAAAAGAAGGTATTGTAGGAAAATGAGAATGAAGCTTGAGAGATCGAATGTGAGAGAGGGAACGATAACAAGTCCGAGCAAGAGATACTGAGAAATAGAGGTGTAGTGAAAGAGACATAGATGAAAACAGACCAGCCAGAGGAGAAAGACTAATGAGAGAGAGCTGGAGAAACATGAGGGAGGAAAGTGAGGGCTTTATAAAGACACAGACAACCAGAGGCAGACAGAGAGAGAGAAGGAAGGTGTATGATTGTGAATTTGTGCTGGTAAAAGAGAGAAAGGGGCAGCATGTGTATGAAACTGTGTACTCCTGTGTGTGTCCAGAGGGCAGAGAAGTGTTTGACAAAAGGCTTTTGTTGTGGAAGTGGCCATTTTGAATCTTCCCCTGGTTCCGGATGGCTCCACTTCACTGTGTCCCAGCCTAGTTGTTTGGCCTAGTTTCTCATTAAGTCTCCACTTATACGATGACAGCGTTTACTCTGTGTCGGCCTACTCACTATTTATGGCAAACATCATTACAATTCCTCCAGACGTGGTGCAGCTCCGTGCCACACAGATGAAAAGAGTTTCTCTCTTTAGTGCAGCACATTATCCTATAGTAGTCGTTCTTAAAGGGTTACACTAGTACTTATTAACTACAAATCGCAAACACTTTTGAGATGTGCCAACCATTTTTCAACCGGGACTGTTTTAAAGGCTCTTCTACTTTGTCCACTTTGACTCAGCTGCCAGACAGCTTCCACTTAAATGAAAGGAGGAAATTATTTCACCGCGCCTGTCTTATAAATTGTGCTTTTTGTCAAAGTAACTCATCAGCGTAATGCTCTTTTAAATCCATCTCTCAAATCTTAGCTGTCAGAGTGTCTTTGAACATCAGACATAATATTAATTTGTAAAAAGTGTCCAAAGGGGCAAAAGCTTTATCAAGCGTTGATAAAGCGACACTTTCAAAAACTAGTGGTCGCTAATTGTTTACTGAGATGGATTAGCTGTGATTGATTCGCTATCTTAGCTGCTACCCACTGACATTTATGCCACGCTGTCATTAACAGAAATGTGTTGGGAGGATTTTCAGTTTAGCATGCAACACAATCACTGGAGTTATTTATCAAGCACAAATGCAAAACATTGAATTGCTCCAACTGTTGTATACTGTCATAAATTAAATATCTCGGGCTGCTCAACAACACTGCTTGAATAAAAGATACAATTCAAAGATGCCACATTCACTTCTTGAGATTTTTCACTGTTTTATCAGTGGAATTATTCATCAAGACAATAATCTACAGAATCATCTTTAGCCCCTCGACTCAATTCTCCTGAGCATTTACACTGCTACACATTTAATAAGGCAAGAAATATCGACCCTTATCTGGCTTCACCTTATCAGTGTACTTAATGAAAAGAGAAAGTGTGTAATATTTTGCACATTCAGTGTATGAACACACTGAACAATCCCTAATGTGACAAACTGTCTGCAGCATAATGCAGGTTAGATTAGATTGGATTAATGGGATTATATCCACAGAGGGAGACGTCTACAGCAGCAACTGCTGATCACAGGGCTGGAGAGATGAACCCCACACACACACACACACACACACACACACACACACACACACACACACACACACCATCTTTTTCATAAATTAGGCTTTCTGAAGTGGGGTTATATGAGCTATTTATCCAAAGTCAGTGTTAGAGCTGCAATGAATAATCGATTAATTGATTAGTTTTCAATTATCAAATTAGTCGCCAACTAATTTGATTATCAATTAATCAGTTTGGGTCTTTTTTTAAAGAAAGAAAAGGTCAAAATTCTCTTATTCCAGCTTCTTAAATGTCAATATTTCCTGGTTTCTTTAATTCTGTATGCCAGTAAACTGAATATCTTTGGCTTGAGGACAACATAATGAACATTTTCACAATTTTCTAACATTTCATAGATCAAACAACTAATTTATTCATCAAGAAAAAAGTCGCCAATGAAGAGAGTCGTACGAACGTGGACATTGAAGGCTGACTGTCGTCTTTCTTTCAATGGCAAGCCTTCGTCATGTGCCTCTTTAGTGTCGAAGTACCCGTCTTTTTGCAGTCATATACCAGCATCGGTCTGCACTTGGTACACTCGATGAAGCCGACACACACGTTGTCACCATCGCCAACTGACATGTGCGCGGCCAGTGCCGCTGACAAGGGGTGATACGTAGTTGGTTCCATAGCCTAGGTCTATTATGAGGTCTATTAAATATTTAGGCTCTTTTTTAAGGTGGGACTTTTTTTGAGGTGGCTAAGATTAGAGCTTAGATTCTCTGCCCGAGCCCGAACCCGACCCGTAATTTCCCACCACTATCCTCGGGTTTGGGCTCGGGCAGAGAATCTAAGCCCTAATCTTAGCCACTTCACCTTGACCTGAGACAGTCTGTTCTGACGGAGAAGCTTAATTTCCCCATCTCTGTTCTCGTTAGAGCCACTAGAACCCATCGACAAAAATAGGTATTTTAGCTTGCTTAACACAGGAGCTGCTGATCTACCACTGTCACTGTCAGACTCCAGGCTACTTCCCCAAATTGGGTGTGCACCTGATTATGGTTTAGGGTGCTTTCAGATCTAGAGTTGTCTTGCTTTGGTCTGAATCAGGGACTAATTTTGTCACAAAGTTGTATAATTTCCTAGAGTTGGTTCGTGTTCTCACGGCAGCATTTACAAGAGGACCAGATCAAATGCCTTGTGCGAGAAAGCTGCTCTGGATTGGTCAGAATTTCCATGTGGGAAAAATCCAGGATGTAAAGCAAACGTTGAAGAAGAGTACACTTGCAAGATAAATGTGACACTTTCTAATGTCACAATGGAGGGACAACTACGCAGGTTGATTTTAGCGCTGCTCATCGTGGACTATATTGCTGTCATTGTTCATTTTAGTCAAACCATACAGTTTGAAAACGAGGCGCAGCTCCAACTAGAAAACAATGTTTTGATGCATTGGATGTGCTGAATGTGCATATTAAGGCAGTACAGGAGGAGGTGCACATTAATAATCCTCCAGGACTGTAACATGCTCATGTTTAACCCAAACAATGTGTCATGTGACTGCAGTTGGTTCAGATCCAGGTCGGAACACGTTCTCACCACAAACGAACCTCACCAGAGTTCGTTTGTAACCGGACCAAGACCACCTCTTCAAGAAGGTCTCGGTCCAGTTGTTTTTGTGCGCACCTGAGTGTGATTGCTGTGTTCACACCTGCCCAAATGAACTGCACTTAGGGGGCAAACAAACTTGAGTTTGATTGAAGCAAACCAAACAGGGCAGGTGTGGAAGCACCCTTAGGACCTCATACAACTTCACTTAAAAAAAATCTGACCTATCCCTTTAACAATCAGAGTATGAATGGGGCACAACCTCAGTTTGCATGAACTGTAGGCTCATACTGTACATACACACAAGCAGTTGTGCATACCAGCACATATAAACAGGTGCACATGCAGAGACCTAAGCCTCATTATACAGTGAGTCACAACACCCTGATTCATCTCCATTGATCTAAACCTTCCCTGTAGCCTCTGACTCAGTCCTTTTGTTATTCCTTTCTGCGAGTCATCTTACATCATTCATAAAGCTGCTTATTCCACCGAAGCGTTTCTATAAATGAGATTCACTATGTTATACAACTGAACTGTCAGCGGTTTGATGCTTCGTACAGAAGTCTCTTTGACCATCTGCTCTGAAGTTAATCACCCTATGAACCCCAGACACACTCACTTGCACACATCCATGCGGCAGTAAAAACAAACTTAGATGCATAGCACTAGCTGTGAGATGCTGAGCTGAAAATTCAGCTGGGATGAGTGTGAGTCATGGAAACGGCTTAATATTATGGGCTGTCTTTCCCTTGATGTTGCTCAAGCTAATTAAGCCTTGTACCGAGCTACGCAGGTCTGTTTGAAGTGTGCTGGAGACTCACTTTAATGGTCTGCTTTATGCAATTCTGTTTTCACATTTAATTTGAACATGTTTACAACCCAGGGACCTCAGGTTATACAGATAGGGCCTCAGAGCCTAACCGAGATACACCTACATTTCCTGCTAGGAGTTGATATCTGAATTACTTGGGGGGGAACAAATCCTCCTAAAATTCAACTATTATCTTGAAAAAGCAAGAAACAACAAACCACATGGTAAAAAATGTTAATAATATGCTTTTATGCTTCCAGTCATTTTGTATGAACGCTGAATGTGTGATTTCTTTCAGTTGATGATATGATTTTAGAAGAACACAATTATATGAGTGACAAACCCATTGCCTTTAATGATGCTGTATTCCACCATATTAGAAATATGCTTATGCTCAGCTGTTTTATGTCAAGCTGGATGTCAAGGACTTTAAGCTCACTCTACAGGTACTCTCAGACAAAGTTGAGAAAGAAAATGTTAAAGTCAATGCGGTGGTGCACACTGACCTCTACTGTTGATGACGTGTTACCACCCTGTTGTGTCCCAACACACCCCTGGGCTACTGTGGTGACTGATGTGGGAGCAGCAGGGTCACTCAGTGGCACACAGAGACACAAAGGTCACACTGTTTTGTGTTTGTCATTTGTTTAGGATCGGAGTGCTGTGTGCATACGCTGCCAACCAGAACCTGAGCTCACAGGTGAAGAACATACGGAGACTGGTCAACAGCAACATGAGGGACCTGCACACCTTCGCTAATGACACGCCGATGGTGAGAGAGTGGTTCTACAGTATGTGAAGATTAAGCATTATCACTGTGCTTTGTGTCCTGAAGCTCCAACAAGATATTAAACTATGTTATAAAAGCAGACACTGAGAAATTTGCTGTCAATATAAACACGACAAATTTAATTATACAACAAAACCATCAACTGGACAGCAAGTAGTTTGTTGATTATACGACAGCATAGCTACTACTAAAGGAAATTTTAGCTTGTGAATAATTTGGGTAATGTTGCGTACACATGGAATTGGGCAGACACCTGACAGCAGACGGACAAAACCTTCTATGTGGCACACGAAAAACAAACAGTCTGACAAAATGATGAAAGGTGTGATAACATGCTTTGATGGTAATGCTGTATTGGTAACGAATAAAATAAAATAAAATAATTTCATGTGTATTTTTTTAGGTATTTTTTTCTAGTAATTGTCAAGACCACCCATGTTTTTTTGCCTTGTGTGAAGGAGCTATGTAACATCTGGTTGTAAATTCCATTGCGGAAGATGACAAAAACTTAAAATATATTTAAACTTGAACAGCATTGCTGTCTACAGTTAGCGTTGCTGGTATTCTCTGCCTGCCTCATCTAATTTTACCATCCTGCTCTCATCCACTAAAATGATATCCAGTTTGCTGTCTGCCTGATTCCATGTGAGCGCAGCATAAAATAGGGTTCGGTCATGGTTAAATAAAAGGCTGAAATTTAAAATTTACTCTGATGAGGAATATTTTCAATATCTCAGGGTGTTAGAGTCGTATCAGACTGCTAACATTTATAGTCATGCCTCATTTATGTAATGTTTTCAAGGTGGGAAAAGAGAAATCTCTCACTTTTTGTGTATGTGGCAGCTTCTTTAAAACATAATTCTCATTTGAGGAGCTTGGGCTTTTAATACTCACTTTGATTGTAGGTGTTAAAATGGCAGCGTTCAGAGAAGAAACAGTTTTGACAAATAACATGAATCTGACCCTGTGCTGTTGTCTTTTACTTTAGAGTGCTTGTTTGTATCTAAGACGAGATTAACACTCATTTTCATCTGCTTCCATCTGTAAGACTCTGCTCTGTTGTGTTTCCTGTTTGCAGCAAATTGATTACCTAATATCCCAATACACCACCGCCAAGAACAAAGTCATCTATGACCTAGATAGTAAGTAAACCTCCTCTGCGCCTATGATTGTAAAGTAAGTGGACAGAAACGATACACTGAGTTCTTGCTCTTGGTCGTATATCAGGCTTATTATCTGAATTCACTGCGTCTACTTTCCTTGACTTGTTTTCACAACAGATTTTGTGACATAACTAGGTCTAGATAGCTACAGTGATGACTGTTATGGAGGATCCCTGGAGTATTCATCCTACTTTTATGATAGCACTGCAGGCAGCTCTTTCTTGAAAGTTAATACCTGCAAAGGCAGCAAACATAATAAAGACAGGGACTATCTGACTGTTTTCTTCTGTGTATCTGATGCTGCGTCCTCTGCAGATATAGGTCCATTATTGGGTGGACGGATACACGATCAGTTGGATAAGGAAGTCCATCCTGCCTTGGACAGAGTGCTCAATATGGCTGGAGGTACGTGCAGCCGCATATTTTTCATTTCCTTCATGATATGATCAGGTTATTATAAGCTGCAAGCTAATGAAAGCAGGTTACAGTTGCAATACAAAATATTGTGCAAGTCATAAGAGTGCCCTGCCTTACCTGCAAGTATTGTCAGTTATTTAAAGGTATACCATGCAGGATTTCTCTAAAAAAACAATGTTTAGACTGGGGATGAAAACGGTTACTGGTGCCACAATAAACAACAGTGCATTTCCTGACAGTTAGCATTACCTTTTCAGTTTTTAATTATCAAAACCATGGGTAAAAGAACTCCCTCTGCTCAAGGATCAGGTGCTGTTCGGCTGCAGGAACATCTCAGATAAAATCATAAACATAAACCACCACACACTGAACTGAATTACTGTGATTCTAAGAGCACTCTTAATAAAATCACAGTAATTCAGTTCAGTGTGTGGTGGTTTATGTTTATGATTTTATCATTTAAATCATATTTGACTACCATCAACTGAAGTTAGCAATGTTCTCTCAGACGCATCATGCAACATGGGTTTGTTGTGCTGTTCCAGTGTTTAGAGAGTGGGCTTTGGTCCTCATCTGGAGTGACAAAGCAGCAAAAAGCACGCACATCCACAAACAAAATTGTGCAGGTGCTGAGCTCAAAAATGTGGAAAACTGAAAAGGTAAAGAAAAGCTCGCACACTGCAGGGTTCCTATTCAATGTAATCAAACATTTCAAAGCTAGGCTGTCTTTACAGTTAATCAATGCACATGTTATATGGTTTTCGTATGTTTATATAACATATTAGCTATGTTATTACTCTAATGTTTATGCTAACAAAAACTGCTGCTAATTTTATTTGTGATTTTCAATATAAAACTTGGTGAAATGATTTCAGTATGTTTATCTGTGCTTTTTCAGCACATTTTAACAATACTGTAATACTGATAACCGTAAATAATTTTGGTCACTTCAATTTCATACAGTTTCATCTCTACGGACTAAATATTAACCGCCTTTGCCAATCCCTCACACCTCATAGTACCGCCATTCTTGTTCACATTCTAGTTACATCCCATATTGATTACTGTAACTCGCTTCTTTTTGGTCTCCTGCTCAAGTACATCCACACAAACGCCCTCCATCAATCACATCATTGCTGCCCTTCTGCAGCTTCACTGCCTCCCTGTTAAATACCTCATTGACTTTAAAATCTTACTCCTCACCTTTAAGGCCATCCACAGACAAGCTCCGCTGTACCTCTCCCAACTCTTACACATCCACACCCCCATCCACACTCTCAGGTCTCTCTTCCATCCACCTCACTGTCCCGCCAGCTCACCTGACCACAATAGGGTCCAAAGCCTTCAGTTGCTCTGCTCCCCACCTCTGGAACCCTACTGTTATTTTCTCTATCTTTGCCTATAAGGTGACCTTCACTGCCGTGAAAGGTGCCTATAAATAAAATGTACTATATTCTGCAGAGACTCTGCCTGTATTTTCTTAATTTCTTTTTATTTTGTTGGTTTCACGACATTACTAGTCAGCATGTGCAGGTGAGGTCAGGACTTCATAAAAAGGAAGCGACCTGGTGCCAGACTTTGAGCAGCATATATCCAAGAGGAAGCTAATATCATGGACGTAGCGTCAAAAAAAAAAAAAAAAAACCCTGCAAATATAGTGAGGCAAAACAACAAACAAGTGAATCTGGGCTTTTACTTTCTATGCCTACTGTTAACAAACAGTGACCTACAATACCTGCATAGTATACCTTTAAAGATTAGAAAATTGCTCCTAAAACCAAGTGACATCATAGCCCCATTATCAGATTTCTCTTCACTAAATATAAGCTGTATTATGTTTTCAAAGGTTGATATATTCTGCCGTGAATATAATACACTGTAATGGTTTTTGGAATCTAATTTCAGTTTTTGTTTCTCAAAGGTCAGTGAGTTAATAAAAGCTGTTTGTTTTGTTTATCTTTATGTTATGCTTTTTTATAAAGTGAAAATCGAGAGAGCCATCAAAGGTAACAGTAACTCAGTAACTGAACAAAGACCCACAGTCCCTTGACCCCTGACCTTGTGAACTTTGACACCAATGTTGCTCCTGTGATTTGTTCCCTTGTGATCTTCCTTGAGCACTTGGACCTCTTTAAGGATTTTAAATGAACAACAACCAATTAATATATTAAAACTGCACTACGTAACATCTGAGTCTGGTGACCACAAGCAGCAGATCATTATGTGTGATTAACTTATGTAAAGATACAAGTTATAGTAAGTGCCACTTCTTAAACTTTAAATCTTCCTTGAAGAGACTCATGAGGAAGGAAGTGGTGAAAAATATTTTCAGGACAGGTTCTGCTGTCTGCCAGCTTGGTTTGGATCCAGTGTTTACTTGCCATCCTTAAGCAGACATGTTTGTATTTTTCTTAAGGTCAAATTCACCACCTGGAGAACGCACAGATGGTTTTCTGCTGCTGCTGTCACCAGATAAATTGTTTTTATTGGCAAACAGGATGAATCTGTGAGGGTTTTGTTTTTAATTTACACATATAAACAGATGTGATTACTCTCCATAAAAACATTCGCCTAGTGCAGTTTTAAGTTAATGACATCACCAGATGTTGCAAAAAAAAAAACCTAAAGTAACATCAACCTGCATTTGGATATTTCCCTTTTTACTCCAATTGTGTTCCCCCACTGTGAAGTGAGCGTAAAAATGTGTTTGTGTGACCACTCCTGTTACTTTATTTTAACTGCTTCACCTAAAATTACACTCTCATGAAAATGAATCAACCACATCAACATTAAACTCAGAGACTACACAGGCTTGTAGCACAACAGAAACAAAGATGACACAGCAGTCAGCAAGCATGCCCAAACTTCAGGTGGTAAAATGCTTGAGCACAGATGACTGTGAATACAGTTTGTGTTCTTAATGTTTGTGTATTGTTGTGTTCCTACTGGGGTTGAGCCGAGTAGTCAAAGGATTTTAGGGCCTGGAACAAAATTTTCAACAAGGCTTACATAGAAGTGAATATGGCATTAATGCATTTAGCACATAGCATCCATCTATGTTCTCACTTCCTCCAGTGCTGCTAAGCATTTAGATATGTTATATCCTCCTCTACACTCTTGCATCTTTTATACCAATGTTCAGAGATGCCAGTGTTTTTGCATTCTTTATCCTGTTTAATTTTAAAAGTCTGCTGCAGGCTAATCTGTGACTGTTAACCAACACTGGCTGCTGCCTTGTGATGCCTTCAATTGCTCGGCAAAGACTTAGTTACAATAATTTTTAACAGAAAAAGCTATAATTTCACATTATTCATAGCATTTCTGTTGTTTGCTGAAAGCTGTTTGGAAGTCAAAGTCCATCTGTAGATGCTGGAGATTCACACCATAGAAGCAATCCAAATGCCAAACATCAGGTCTTGGATCTGAAACTGTGTACTGAATACTCGGCTCAGGCCTGGTCCTTACAATGAGTGTGTACTTTGTGTCCCGTGTGATTCTGTGCTTTTGTGTAACATAAGCCAATATTCTACGGACCGTCCTGTTGCTGTGTATGTTGATACTTAAAACCGATTTGTCAGACACTAATGCATTATGGTACTACTATATCAGATCAGTCTGACTGGTGAAACAATAAGTTATTTGAAATTTTATATGCCCCAGAAACAGTGACAAAAAAGTTATTTTACTGCTCTGAATATAAGAGTACATTTATACACTTCCTGTCGTAACAGCTCCACTGAATTTCCCAGGACAGAACTAAAAGATTTAATAAAATATTCATAATTCTTTAGGAGTCATTTTGCAGCAGAGCTATGCAGTCTGGGGCTCATGGGGGAAAAAGCCTTTCCTGACAACTCATTCAATTTTAAATTTTACCTCGAAATATAGGTTAGCTAATGAGAAAAGTTTTCAGTGCAGTTGAGTAGGTGAGACACTGCAGCTGTATCAACAACCGCTTGACTGTTTTTAACGTTGGAGGAACGATTTAAGTTTGCAACAGAAACAATGGAAACGTCTCACTCCATTGTTCTATTTTTGTCATCTCTGTTTCGATGGGCCTTCACATCCTGGTTTTCCCCTCATACGAGCAACCAAATCCAGTTTCAATCTCATCTGTGTTCTCTTTCTTTTCAGCCATGCGAGAAACCAAAGAGGCCCTGGAGAACGTCAGTGTGGGTTTGGAGGTTCTCCAGGAGGGAACAGGGAAGCTCAACTTCAACCTGAGTCTGGTCCGCACCAGTATCAACCGCACCCTCAACGACCCGGGCTGTCATGACGAGGAGTCAGACGCCACCACTGCACAGCTGTGCCGCAACATCCGCCAGTCACTGTCCCAGCTGCAGATCGGAGCCAACTTCACACGGGTACAAAACGAAATGCAACTGGGACTTTTGCACATGTCCCACTTTTTTTGCCACATGCCTGCTGAATTATTGCAATTATCTCCTTCACAGATAAAATGCCCTCCACCATTTATCTAATAACTTCATGATAAATACTGAATTTAGGAAATATTGTCTCAATCAGTGTTGTAATACTCAAGATCAAGATTCAAGAACAATTTTTCAAAGTCTTGGTCTCGTCTCAGACTCGGCCTTGTGTTGGTCTCAGACACAAGAGGACGAGGGATTTTATTTCAAGATCAGTCAAAACCACACTGCAGAGATACCACTGTACTACCTGTGCAATACATACTTTGAATAAAGATGGCTGAGTTGATTTCAGCTCCTTAGTGTTTGTTTGTGCATAGAAAACAAAAGAAAATTGTCAAACATAAAATTCACCTTTTGATTATTTTATCAAGACATTCCTCATGGTGCACTTATACATATACATTAAAATAAATGATAAATAAAAAAGGGAAATGAATAGGAATCTCGTTTTCTGTGGGTGTTTATGTGGGAATATGGACCTTTCAGATAAATTTGATAAGTGCCTATGGTTTACACGCTCCACATTTTACTGTAAGCGCGTCAAGAAGTGTGGGACTCGCATTAGTCTGGTCTTAATTCTGCCTCTTCCCTACAAAGTCTTGGCCTTGTCTCAGTCTGGATACACTGGTCTTGGTTTTGATGGTCTTGATTACAACGCTGGTCTCAGCACACTGATTTGATATTAACTGCATGTTAGGAAAGCAACAAGGATCACTGAATGTTGATCAAGGATTGTTCAATTTTAACTTATCACTGTGTATTTTTATCAGTTTTCATTTTCTGTCTCTATTCAGTTACCCAAAGTGAACGCTCAGCTGCAAAAGGTGAACGATGTACTGAAAACGGACCTCAGTGCCATCGTCCAAAGGGTGAGCCTGCACCATAAATCTATGGATATACTAACAGTGTTGGCAAGGCCAGTCTGTAGTGTCAATTAAATTAAAAAATAAACAAATACTTATATCACCACCAAACAACAAAATGGACCAAGAAACTCTATGTTCCAACACCTTGTCCTTTTCTTCTCACAGGGCTACGTCTCTTTAAACAACACACCACATATGGTGGTTGAACAGACCAGAAGTGTTGTGGAGAGTAAGTGACATTTTTCACTTGAAAGCAAACATTAATAATTGGGATTTTTTACTCTTATTTCCCTCTCCATGTGTCTCTTTTCTTCTTCTGCCTTCTGAGTTTGAGCAAAATCAATTTAAGTTTGAGTCTACACTTATTTCAGTGTAAAAAAATATATCCAATTTACAACTGTCTATTTAACATGAGCATGTTTCTGAGTATTGAATTTGAAGCTTTAATCAGTGCGGCCGACATCTTTATTTACTTATCCAGTACCATATATTGGAACCAATGGATTAAATTAACTGATCTGTCTATCAGATGTGCAGAGTTTGGTGGACGGCATTGGCAACAACATCAGCAGCTTTTCCAAGGTGTTCCCTGTGCAGAGCTGCCTGGCCAACTTCACCATCTTCATCAGCCATGCTCATGCTAAGATTGAGGACTACTACCCTGAGATTGACAAACTGGACTTCTACAGGTAAAAGTACCTGTAAATACTGTGGTGTGGGCACTGTCCTGATGCTTGATATTATGTAGCTTGACCAGACTCTTTTCACAAAGCTGTATAAGCCTGCACTAATATTTTACATTCATGAAATATTAATATCACTTCTACATTAATGCAGTTTAAATCAGTGCAGTGGGGGAAAACCAACGATGATATATCAGTTCTTTTAAAAGCTTTTCTTTTACCCCCTTTAACTTATGGGCTGTGTAAGGTAGAGCTTCATTGTTATGCTCAAGGACACTGCAGCAGGACTGACGCTGATATACACTTAAGCTGTGGAGAATGATGTCTTCCTATTTGCTGTTATTTTAAGGCCACCCTCAGTGAGAGCGCTGACTCTTCTGCTTCCTGCTGCTTACAGGTGGATTGGCTGCATTGCTCTTTGCTGCATGGTGGTTCTGGTCCTGGCCTTCAACTACCTGGGCCTGCTGTGTGGCACCCTGGGCTACGACAAGCACGCCTCACCTACGACACGAGGCTGCATCTCCAACACGGGAGGAACGATGCTCATGGCGTGAGTCAACTGCTCTCACAACAGGCTCTGTCAGTTTCGAGATTTAAAACTAAAGATGTCAAAAAGTCAGTTTGATGTTGGCACGGTGCACTGCACTGCACTACACTACAAGTACTTTGGGTACTACTTGTTCAGGTGCTGGTAGTCCTCCTAAAATGACTACTACTTCTACTATAACGGCCACAAATACTACGATGTCAGTGGACTATTTACTGTACATGCTACAGCACTTCTAAAAGGTAAAGAAGACCAGAGCACAAAGTCAGAGTCATCTCAAGGATCTGAAGAGCATGAAAGAGCAAAGATGACCTGGAGGTGCTGTTGTTAAAGAAAGCTTATGCAAACGAAGCATATGTAATACAATATCTGAACAAGCTGATACAGATTATGTAACATGCAGAACCTGTTTCAATTAGAAGAATAGTTGTCTGCAACATTTTCCACAAGATTAAAAAGTTCCATATTCAGGATTTTAGGGGCCTCACACAAAAGGCAACCATTTTTTTACTAATGTATTTTAAATATCCTATTTTTTTGTTTTGCGTTATATCTAACTGGGATACTGATACAAATCTGAGGTAATCTGATACTGTAATTACAACGGCTCGTTTTAATTCCCCACCCGATCCTCTAACGCTACACCTCCACCTCTTATTGTTATAAACTTTATCTGTACCTGAGGGCCTGTCTGTCCTTCTCCACAGCGGCGTCGGATTTAGCATCATCTTCTCCTGGGTGCTGATGGGAGTGGTAACAATCATCTTCTTGGCTGGAGGAAACATGGAGAAACTTGTTTGTGAACCCTTTCACAGCAAGGAAATCTTCAATGTAAGTCGTGAGCCACCCTTAAAATTACACCGTTCACTGTGTAGGAAGAAAATGTACAATACATCTCAAGTAGTAATTTAGCTTAATTTTGATAATGACCATAGTTCTGTATTTTGATTGTGACTTGGAATATGTACATCAGCCCATAATGTTCTTTTACCTAAACCCCTAAAAGAGTGTCTCTGCCAGACAGTTAAAATATAGACACTGTTCCTCTTCTGTACTATTTACTGCATGTCAGTGTCCCTCAGGTGGGCTTGTGAGAACAGCAGTTGCTCCCAGTTGTGGGTGGCACACTGTTGTTTGTAACAAGTCTGAATCCTGCTGCACTGAAGCCATCCATAACATAGTAAATCTAATTTTGCCTCAATTCTCTCATAAAATTGAGACAGATAAAGTTTTTCTTTTTAAACAAGTGAAATATGCTGTTGTTTCAAAGAAGTGAAAACACCCCATGCACAGGCGGGCTTCTCTCCTGGGTGCCAGCTGGTGCAGGGTAAACCACAGTGACTACGTTTACATGTAAACTAATATTCCACTACTTTTCCAAATATGACAATATTCCAAATTTGACACAGAATATTCAGTTGGATTCACAAGCCTTTTTCCATTGGATATACCGATTTTATTTGGGTTTAAATACCATTATTTGGATATGTACACAGCGCATTCAGAATATGCATCTTAATTTAGGTTTTTCCCGCAGTTTGCAACACACAGCCTCTTGCCTTTAAACGGTCAGCTCGCGTTGTCATGAACACACTGTACACAAACCAACATGCTAACAGTTTGCAAGGCTGGCATAGAGGTGCATGCCTAAAGAGAGCCCACATATCTGGTCGGAAGAATAAACACACCTACTTTTAAACATTATTAAAGACTTGGATATCAACAGGTTTTTGGATATATTGTAAGGCAGACCTTTTCAAGAAGGTGGTTTATGGAATGACAGAGGGAGGCTGTGTTTGCTCGGTTGAACAAGTCAGACACTGAAGGAAAACTTCGAAAAAATCCTGGCACGATACCCATTCAACTTTTCCATATTTTTATGTGAGAAACATGATGAGTGGGTATGGGAAAAATGAATGAATGCATGACAATGTCAACATAAATATTACATTTCATAAGATAATGAGATATTATTAATGTCAGAGTACAGCAGAGGATGAGTGGATCCAGACTGCATACACTTCCATAAGATACCATGAATATAAGAGTACACAAGTACATGAATAATGTCATAATAAGATATCAAAAACTAGAAGAAAAAGGAGACAAAGTTTGTATAAAGGAAAGAGGGAACTACACAAAACACATAATACCTACAAAAGTCAGAGAAGATGAATATTACACAGAGTAGATATAAATATACCTGTCTCAATGACGGTGGAGAAGGAAAGGCTGTGCCAGAAGAGGCTTTAGTGGCCTAACTTCAGCCACATACCAGGTCACCTGTCAGCACAGAGAGACAATGTAGGTTAGACATACAAGCAAAAGTTTAAAAAGTGGACCTAAGTCTGACGCCTCACTCAGCCCATGTGGCTCAAAGGAATAGTGCTGTCACTTCAATTGATTTATGTGGTATAAAAACTCTAAACTTCTCAGATTTTAGAACTGAACAATAAATTAGACAACTTGTTGAAATTGATATTCTTGCAGCATTTTCTCCTGCACATCCCCCTCTGCTCTTTTGCTGTCTCAGTTCAGAAAAGTTTTGATAAAGGGAGCGACATTTCATCTTTTCTGCAAACAGAGCAACAGAGTATTAAGGGGAATATACACAGTGTTAGGCTGGGATTAGTTCAACCATTATTACAGTCATTCGTGGGATGATTTAGTGAGCATGCACGCTTCCTTCAGCCTCATAACTCATTCTTACACAGCTATACTTCCAGTAAACACATGAATTGTAAGGTTGTTTTCCCCCACTTAGGTTTAAAAAAATACATATTTGAGAACTCACAAGCAAACAAACAAGAACACTCCTTTGTTTGGGTCTGTGTGTTGGTCTTGAATTTTAATCAGGTTTATTTAATTTACTGTTTGATCCCATTTGCTTCCCATGAGAATAATTCATCACTTATCCTCTTCCTGATCCGCCAGGTTGTGGACACCCCGTATTTGGTTAACCCAGAGTGGAAAAACTTCATCCCTGGCTACATGTACAACGACTCCGACCTGGAGCTGACAGCAGAGAGCTTGTACAGGCAAAGCAAACTCATTTTTATGTATTTAGGTGACAGCGTTATGTCTGCCACCTTTCAGAAGCAATGCTTTGGTGATGATTATTCTCCTCATGGCCTGCTCCACACTGTCTTATCTGCATTTCACATTAAGGTTTGGTTACAAAACTGAGTGGATTTTGCAGCATGACAAGCCGTGTATTCAATAATGGTCTGTGGAATTACTGCATGATGCCGTTTTTCACATTTTGCTTAATTTGTTGTTCTGGTGCGGGCGTCGGGTCAGGCATCAGGCACACAACTGAATATTTTATTTCCATTGATGAAGATGCAAATAAGAGTTTCTATTAACCTTGACAAGCTAATTAGCATCATTTCTCTACACTATCTGTGCTGCTTTACTTCAGCCTCTTTCTCAGTGGTTGCATCAGCTTTCATCATCTCCTTCTAGTGAGAGGCTGCAAATATTCAGTAACTGGGATGGCGGGCCTGCAGTCATTATATTTCCAAATAAAGCAATGTTGCTGCAACAGGTCTTTTGCCCATTAAAAAGCAAGCAGCGCTAATACAGAGTACATTATGCGAGTCTATATGGTATGTAGCTGCCTGAATGTTATCGTGGGATCGCAAATACTCCAGGCTTTTGGGGAGCATTACACTGTTTTCTATCAGAGGAAACTTCAGTATGTCATGTACTTCCAGTCAGGTTCACTTGGTGGCAGCAAATATTTCCACTCTGAAACTTTTGAGTTGACATTTCTCTTCCTTTCTCTCTGCTATACCTGTGTGTTCATATGTGTGTCTTTTTCAGCACTTGCAAAGAGAACAAAGGCATCTACTCAGCCATGCGTCTGGACAAAGTCTTCAACATCTCCTTGTTCCTGAACACTACAGTGGTCAGTAAAGTCAAGACACACCATTGGTTGCATTGTGTCATATGTTTTAGGGACTATCTGAGGGTCTCTATTATGATTTATTGCTTTAAACAGGACAGATATTAAACTAGGACATAACGCTATAGTTCAGTTAAAAAGGTATACTTTAAAAACTATTTCCAAACTTCTGATCTCACTTATATGTCAAAGTCAAACGTGCAGATAGTATACAGTACAACTGTGTTTAAAATAAGCCCTCAGTCAGGGAACTCTGTGTGCTTTTGTTTGGAGTATATGCTAATTTTATAAACTATTCTCAGCAGTAATCTTCATAAAATACCATTAAGGGCAGGTAATATATAATAAAGCAATGCACTCTAGTTACTGTTCAGACAAGGGTTACAACTCATTTAGCATACAATTTGAACATGTAGCTGTATAAGATAACGATATAGGGTGTCCAAAAATCCCCATCCTTGGCTGCAGCATCTCATTAGCATTACATAATGACTTCTTCGCTGCCAAAACAAAGTATGGCGACCGCTGATAGCTTTAACATTCCTCAGCCCTTACCTCAGTGAACGCCTGAAACACTACACTGATGTAAGTTTCTATTTCTCCTCGGCCCTGAGCCAGCCACGCCTGCCTGCCTGCCTGAGACGTTCTGTACTTTCCTGCCAGTTGGCAAGATTGTCTTGGCTCCTTCCAGCTAACAGCTGATATGTCCCATGCTGCTCTGCACATTGGTCATTTGTCTTCATTTAAGGCCTGCACATTTTTTAAGTTCCCAGAAATTCTGACACTTGACTTGACAGGATTTCAGCACAAAGACTTAGGGTCTGTTATTTTATCGCCTGTAATAACATTTTACAAAAATATGAGATAAAACTGATTTTTTTTTGTTAGATATTTGCTGCCAGAATCTTTTAAAATGATGGATACTTGTCTGGTTCAAATCTAAATTTCTCCTCTTTAACAAAATACATTTTATTCCCATGGTGAAAAATGGTTCTCTATCATGTCGATGTGAGAATATAGAAATTGGCCTATTTCTCAGATTGCAATTGACATGTCATTAAAGTTGGTCACTTGCATTCAGCATGATGATACTGTAATGTCATTAACAGGGGCCGTATTCACGAAGCTTTCGAGTGCTAAGAGTTGCTCCTAGTGACAAAATTCTAGAAAATTCTTAGAATTGTGATATTTTCAAAGAATTTCCCCTTAAAATGAGTAAACATATAAGTTATTCACAGAGCACCGTAGACCTTAAAAGAACCAAAGGTGAAAAACTGTTAGGAGCAGGGAGAAGGACTTTTAAGAGGCTTTAGAGTTTCTTAAGAAGAGGAGAAAATGGTGGAAACACAAAGAGGTTGGAGAAATATTCTGGATGACTGTGAGAAGATGAAATGCTACCGATTAGATCATGCAGGAATTATGTTTGTGGTCTAAAGAGGGACAGGCACACATTTCCCACCCAATAACACTAAAACGCCAGAAATAAAATGATCGCAACGCTAAGATATTTAGAAAATTGGAAAAATGGAACAGTGCAGCAGTGATGACTTGTGACCGTCTCAACCTTCCAACAGCAGAGTGATCAAACACAAAAAATGACAACACTTTCTCATATTGTGATGTAGTTCATTTCCACTGGGTGTCTACATCTTGCGAGCTCACAGAAGGCATGTCTGACAAACAATCACATCTTTTCAAAGAATGTGTCATACCTAGCAGTGAGGTCTACCACACCTCCTGACTAAGGTAAAAGTTTAGGCCCCTTCCTTGCTCGGAGTTGCTCAGAGAACTTTCCTTAATCACTCCTACGCTAAGACTCCTTACTAAAAAATTTTAGTCCAAGTTAGGAGCTCTCTGAGAGTTTACTCAGAGAGTGTGTTTGTGAATACGGCCCCAGAAGAAGTGTAATCTGACCAATTTAGCTCCATATTATCTTGGGTCTTTGAGAGAAAGCTTTTGATTTACTCCACCAGAAATACACTGACCTGTTTTGGGTCTCTACATTTTCAGTTCCATAAAAAGTAAAACAGGAAAACACAAATTAGTTATATTAACTAATGGTAGCCTACTTACCAGAAATTCAGAGATGTCCAACATCCTGGTAGGGTAGGTCCTCCAGGAAGACTTCCATTTATTTCCACTCAGGAGTTGAAGTTATTAGATAGTGTCTTATTTTTACTAATCCATGAAGAGGGACAGGGTTGTCTTTATAGACGTCTAGTAGCACACACCACCTACAAAAACAATGCCATGTTAAGTTCCTAATACTCAAGCTAGACTTATTCGCACAAGAATAAACGTTAAAAACTTTCTAGCTTGGCTTTATGCAATGTTGTCAATACTTGTTAGCATGAAAATCCAATTTTACTCACTGACATTCCCCAACAGCTTTAGTTGTCTCCAGTCTCCACAACAACAAAACCAACACAAAAATCTACAACAGGGTGTCTGCAGGTCCTTAAAATGTCTTAAATTGTTTTCATATCAGGTATTCAGTCATTAAATAGTATCAAATTTGAATTCGTGAGGGCATAATTGCCACCAACATTTTATCTAATTTCATTCATCCTTTTTTTTATTAGTTTGTCAAAATTAGTCAAGCATGAAAGTCCACATTTCTGATGTTATAAATCTTTAAACCTACAATTGAACCTGATACTGTTGTTTCACTTTATACTTACAATTACCTGTTGAAAAAAATGTAGATTAACCTGACTCACTCTAATAAATATACTACTTCTGTAAAACCTGCCTCTGCACAAGACTATAACGGTACTACTTGATACTTTCATACAGTGCTTGAGTGAGAAAAAATATGGTTTATCCACATAACAGTCGAAAACTTGGTTAAAAAATAACTTGTATGGGTCTTGTAATGCTTGGGATTTAAGTGTCTGATAGCTGTAGACACCCTGTACGATATAGCTAGCGGCTAACATTAGCCTTTACCTGACTGACACTATTGCTACGTTAGCTTACGGTTAATGTTGTGCTAACGCAGCTGTTAGCCGAACAACGCCCCCTCTTGTTCGGAGTTACCGCTAAACTAGCTTGTAGTTTTCAAGATATTATAAGCTAGCTGTTTAAGCTACCATTTTGGTGTTATATTTCATATGGCCTTCAAAATATGAACTGGCCATTATGTCGTATTATATTTTAATACCTTTATTAATCATATTTCACTTACTACAACCGTTGGGCGGACTTGCTTATAACGTTCATGCACGAGCTACTTCGTCTTAGCTCCGCGGTTTAAACTGGTTGAGCATGACAGCAGAGACGCTATTGGTTAAGAGTTTGTCCAATCAGATTCCTTGCAGCCGTGTCTTTGTGGCACATGGGAGATGTATTCCTTGTAGGGTTTTTTTTCCATGAAAGCCATTTAATGTATGTAATGTATTGATTTTAACCCAAACCACGACTTTTTTTTAATTTATTTATTTTAGAAGCCTTAACTAAGAGAGCCCTTTCTGGTAGAAAGCCCTCCACACATTTTACTGATACAAGTAAAGTCAAATAGTATACAAAATCAATATGAGCTAGATGACGGTTGCAACAGAACTATTGAGGAGACCAAATTTGTATTGACCCCGTCCCCCTTAACTATAACAATACCAGTCTGAACCACTGGGCTGTGACAGTGTGTTTGTCTCCAAGATAAGACAAGACACTACTCTGAGTTGAACTCTGGAGTGCATCAGAAATGGTTCCCAGATTTCCAAGAAGACGTCCAGTTTATTGCTTTCCTTATAAATAAGGTGTTCATAGGAAGCTGATTCTGCCAGGGTATTGAGCCCTTATTGATAGTTTAGAGGATCCCCCTCTTTCCAGTGTCAGAGTATGACCCTCTTAGCAGCAGTGACGGCAACTTCTAACCAATTTGAATACTTAAATACTAAATACTTAAAGGATTATACGTCAAAATACTGTCTTTGGATTTAAGTTTTTTTTTATCTGTGAGCTGGATTTGATTGATTAAATCCTTCTTAAAGATTTTTTTGTTGTTGTTTGAAAACTGTTTGTATACTCAGTACAATAACTTAACTTAAAATGGACATTTTTGGTTTTCTTGGAAGTCCAACCCATCTACATACAGCGTTAGTGCCACATCAATTTAGGAACAAACAACTTCATTGCCAACACTTTTGTTGTGTTCTCTTTATGGTGCCACAAAACAGCATATGTTTTCTTTTTTGGTGGTGAAATTGCATATTTCTATTCAAGTCATCCCTTTTGGAAAATCATATTTGCCAACATATGGCTCTCTATGGTTATGGCTTTCAGCGCAGACCGTAACATCAAACCTAATAAACAATTGGACAAACTTCTTTATTGTTACTGACACATAAACTGTGAATTTTGCATTCCAATTTGTTTATGTGTATGGCGATTTTCAACAACAAGGCAATACAGAGTGCTTTACAAAGACATTAAAGTCATCAAGACAAGATAAAAAAAAATACTAAAAGAAAAGCTTGTGTGCAGAAATGCAATCATGAGAACTGCAATTTACAGTAGACACAAGGAGAACGTTTCCACACAAACATCAGGGAACACCATTCTAGTGGGATATGTGAACTTCCGTCCAAACCACATCTTTTAGATCTTTGGTCATCCAAGCGCCAACATTTGTTTTGCATTTTTGTTGGTCTTTCATTATGTTAACAATGTTTATATATATTTAAAGGGATTCCCTGTTTACACTGTACACAGGCTTAAACTTATACGCCTTTCTAACGGGCATACAAAGAGGCAAATGAGGTGAATGACATCTGATGATAGGTTATGATTATATGAGAATCCACACAAAATGTTAACCGTTTTAACATTTAGATCAAATATCAAGCTGTAATGTTTTTCCTTCAGGTCTTATCAAACCCACTGCTGTATGTTTTTTGTGTTTACAGTTTACTAAGGATGTGGTGAGTCAGCTGGAGAGTGTTAAGATCGACCTGAGGGGAATAATCCTGTTAGAGGCAGAAGGGAAGCAGAACCTCCTGGACTTCTCTGAAGCTGGACTGTCAGAAATCAACTATGCAGACTACCTGGAAGAGGTGACACAAACATACTCACATGAATGTAGAAACAAACACATACATCTGAACTAACAGACGGGGTTAATCATAAACAGGATACACTTAGAATGTCCACAAATGAAAAGAAACTTAAAGGGACAAGCAGGCGATAAACAAAAATTACATCAGTTTATACGTATAAGACCAGTTTGTGAAACATCAGTGTAAATATTGACAATATATTGTTCTATATATATCAATGTTTTTGTATTATATTTGTACTTTAATGGTATGTAACCAGAAATAGCTTGGTTCCTGAGGGTCAGTTAAACAGCCTCCTCCTTGGCTGTCAGTTAACATACAGCAGGCAGCCATGCTTCACCTAATAGGAGCTGTGACATGACACAGTACACTGGGTTCTGTTGAGGATCACTGAAGCTCTATTATCCAAAAGCATTCCTGCCAAGGCAAAGAGTGTGTAAGAACAAGCCGGGACTTGGCATTCCCTGTCTTCCCCAACACTACCTGTCATGTTCGCTTAGATGTATTTCCTGAGAGGGCAAAAAGAAAAAAAAAAGCTTTTAGGACTCCATTCAAGTGCACCACCTGTCCTGATACACAACTCACTCTCTGAAAGTCAGGGTGAGAGGTTTTGTGTCCAATAAATGTTTGCTGATTGTGTAAGTATTAAAGCCATTCTGGTTACATTTATGCAGGTTTCCAATCAATTCATTTACATTACAAGACCTGCAGCTGAGAAGACTGGTTTGATCTGCGACATCATTTAAGAGATTTCTATCTACTTGGCAGCTTAAGAGAAAGTTTTAAGGAGGCTGTGTTTCTGTTTTACTTTTATTGATGTGATTTTAAAATGTAATCCTGCTGTATTGATGTTTTAAATACAGCAGCTCAGTCTTATTTATGTCAGGTGTCTGTATTTATTATTTAACTTAATAGTTGTCCGAGGTGAAGTGGGATTTTTAAAATGTGTACCAACCACTGAAATAGAGTGAGAGTAGAATGGATATTGAACTGTTTGCCGTGGTCATTGGACTGGTACGAAAGAAAATGGTGGTTGTTGTTATTTGTTATGGTGACAACACACATCTGTGGGGTTGTAAAATGTATCACACTTACTAGTTTCTTTAAACAAAACGAAAAGAGAACCACCATACACCAATCTAAGTTTCTTTCTTTAGCTGCCTTGTTAACTCATCTTAAGACATCATTCAAACTTCACAGACACAAAACAAAAGTCACCCCTAATTAGTCAACTCTTCCAACAAACTCAAATTCTGGTTTTGGTCGAAATGAACTCAAATTCTCTCAGTTAGATGCGAAAATACGGCAATCTCCATGTTGTTTACCCCCATCGTCTCCGTCTCTCAGCTGTCTACTGAGCAGGGGATCTCCCCCTCGTTCTTTGGACAGCTACAGTTTTCAGTTTATGTTACAGTAATATTTTAAAAGTAAAGGATAGCTTATTTGAACACGTACTACTCCACTGCTCCTTTGGTCATTACTGCAAAACCTCACCTCAGTGAGTTCATGAACTTGCCCCAAGTCAGTTTGTTTAGGCAGAAGATTATGGACCAAATCAATGAATGAATGTCCACTCTACTCTCATCCTGTTTCTATGGTCCTAACAAAAGCAACACAAAGAACAAAAATAAAAGAGGCCGCTTCCTAATTATGAAGCTAATAATGGCAGTTATCTGAGTACTTTGCCCCTAACATGACTGCTAAGAGGAGTTAGATGTCACAATTTCTTTTTTTTTTTTTACCTGCTTACCTTCAGGTCAACAAAGGAGTCACTTTGGTGGACCTGCTCTCATATGCCAGAGAGTTGGAGGCCCAGACAGACCTCATGGTAAGAACACCTTGATGCCAACCTGGCTAATATACAAACATACACAGTGTTTCTTTGGAGGCCATGGAGGCACTTTGGTGGATTTAGGTGTCCTTAGTTTCCTAGCTTAGTGCATCTTTGTCCAAAACGTAACAGCTCTGCTCTAGATACAAACTCTGGGGGAGTAGTCTCACTGCTCTGCTCTGCCTTCAGGGGGTTTCAGGAAGGCAACCGATTTATTCACCTCTGCAGGAAATGCAGAGTCTTGTAGGATCCTCCAGACGAACAGAGCTCACAGGTTGTGTAATCCAAAGGAAGGGTCTACACACAGGAGAAATACATACATTTATTAATTACTGACCAGCAAGGGAAACAATAATTAACTTCTCTGACATGTCTTGTATTTGAGTTTATGGGCTGAAATTTGCTTCAGGGCTTTGATAAATGATGTTTCAATAACATGGCGTGTTTCTCTGCATGTGTGTGTTTCAGCCCAGAGGCGCTCTGCAGACTGCTCTGAAAGGCCACATCGGCACTCTGCGGCAGATCCACACTCAACAGATCATCCCTATGGAGCAGGCCATGGTAATGCCCCATTGTGTGTGTGTGTTTGTTTTCTGTCCAGATAATCATGCCTGGCTGGAATCTTGGTTTTCTGGGTTACATCTTCTCTCCAGTCATCTCCTCAAAGGAAGCATCCACCCTAAACCACTTATAACTATGCAAAAACAGCGACTTGTGTTCTTTGAACATGACAATGACCTGACATGACATCAGGATAACATTCACAGCAAAGCTAGAGTTGTGCAATACACTGTAAATGTTTTTCTACTTAATACTTTGTTGTGTGGCAGTCAAACACAACTCCAGCTATGAAGAGGAATAGACCAAATCTCTCACAGGGCATGTTGTGTTTCAATTGGGGGTGCTTCCTGTTGTGAAAAACGTTCAGTTCTTGTTTAGAGTTTGCTTCAGGTGCATGTAAATGCATCACAGCCTCACCTCTTCTTGGCTGGGTTGGTTAACTAAAGGGAAAGTTTGGTATTTGTCAACGTGGACTCTATTTTCCTTATTTTCTAGGTGATTAATGGAAACAACAATTTTTTAAATTAATCCAATATAGACTGCTCCAGTGATGACGTTCTTCTGTAGGCTGATGTGGAAGTTAGCGTTGCCCTGGTTCCCTCATCAAAAAGCAGATTTTTCCATCAAATCTTGGATTATTGCAGAAACTAAACTCTGTGGCAAACAAATGTTTATGATACATGTTTTGTTATGCAAGTAATCATCACAAATGAACACCGCTTTCCTGATTTTTGAAGTGTAAATGCAATTGCCAGAATTTCAAATCTAACGTTAGGCTATAAACGAACTAGACCACAGTCACATGACTTAACATCCCCACCACAACGAGGATGTAAAGTGTGTACTGCGAGATAATGTTCTGTTGTTTCATTTAGGCACTCAACTGAGACAGCGTGTTGCAGCCATCAGCTATGAAACAAGCTGCGATGTGGAGTAACTATGCACCATCAGTTTGCGTCTACTGAAAGTGCTTGTTTTTGACACCGACAGGCTCAGATAGTGTTTCACACATTGTGGAAATGACCCGACAGAGAAAGAACACCTTTTAAATGGTCCAGTCTGTATATTGTGTATAACCAAGTCTCGCTCAAGACTCTTCCATATTTTCAAAATCAGCTAAATATTCAGCCATGACATTAAAAGTTGTACTTAGCTACACTTTCTGTACTCTTACACAACAAACTTTTTCCGTCACTCCTCTCTTCAATTTTACTTAGATTTCTACCGTTGTCTTGCTTTTGAGCAAGACTTGGTTACACACAATAACAAACCGACCAGATGAAGCCAAAGGTAAAGGAAAAACTTCTCATTCCTCTGTAGGGTTGTTTCATAATGTTGTCAGACACTGAGAATAACAACCTGAGCCTGTCAGTGGTAAAAACAAGCTCTGTGGACAATAACAGGTGGTGACAAATGCCCCAAGTGGTTACATTACAGCCTATTTTGCGGCTGCTGGTTGAAGTGGTCTTGCTCAATACTGGGCCAGTTTCAAAAACTGTTGTCCCCATTAGTCATTTAAACACAGAAACACGGGGAAATAGGGTGCAGGTTAAAAGAACTAAAATTTCCCTCGGAAGATATGACTAAGGTTGAGGGAAAAGACGCAACATAAACAACCACAACAAAAGTGGATTTTTCCCATTTTATTGGGCATATTGTTTTTATTTACTGCTAGCATGTTTTGTTTTATCTATATAAAGTATTTGAACTTTAAATAGACTTTAAAGCTGCTGTAATCAATATGTTTATATTAATAATGGATCAAATGGCTATTTATATTGTGAAAGGTGTCATTCTTTGTAACAAACTCACAGAGAGCTATCACAAGGCTCAGCTCTACAGAGCATTTTAGCTTCTTTCAGCTCATTGTTTTTGGTTCTTTGGCCAACTTCACTGCTTTGGTTCAATCTCCCTGCACTGACCAACTCACTGTAAACTAACAGTTTGAAACATAGAACAGTAGACAGTTAGCTACACCCTGGTGAACACAGCGGAGCATTTAGCAGTTGAAGACCTAGATACTTCCCTCGGGAGTTGGTGAAAACCAAAAACAGAGCTAAAAGACAGTGAAAATTGGACTTGCATTAATCAGATGGCCTGAAACACAACTCTGAATGAATGATAATGTTCCTCTGTGTGCTTGATGTATTAATAAGCTACTGTTTGCAAACAACCTGATGAGGTGCTATCAGTGTTGTGATTACAGCTTGTTGCGCTACCTCCTAAGTGCCCTAAAATCATTAAATGTAGGCTTAAGGAAACATTTGTTCAAGAAAATCTATGCTATTAAGAAAGGTTTATCAGGTCAACAGCTGTAATGTGCTATAGTGTAATGGTGTATGCCAAAGCCACTGCATATGAGTAACTAGAGTCTTAGCCTTATGCTAATGCCTGTTTAAGAGAATGATGCATCCTCAACAGAGAGAAAATATTTCAGTGTTTCATTTAATATCATCAAAAGCAGTGTTTTTGACCCTCAGGCATCTGTCATCAATCATGCCATGTCTGTAAAAAACAAGTTCAATATTCAGTTTTATTTTCTCTGTCAAAGGAAATGTCATTCTTTTGAATAACACCAAAGATTAACAGCTTCTAGCTATTCAGTCAGGCAGAGATGCACTTTAACACAGCTTTAACAACAGCTTTTCATGTTTTTCTTTTTCCACTCTCAACTTCAAGAAATATGTTAGAGCGAGGGTAAGCTGAAACACGTCCATCCTGTGTATTTAGTGTCCCCATTCATTATCTGGAGCATTTAGAGAGATATTTTATCTCACAGATGACATATAATAGTCTGAGAAAATATTTCCCATAGGTAGTATTTTAGGATAGCGTGTGTGTGTGTGTTTTTGTATTTACATTTACACAGAGATCACATGCTCTATGGTGTTGTTGAACATGAAGGGTTTTGTACCAAAATGTTAAAAAATATCCACCAATGTTACTTTTACTTGGTCATTAATTTGGTAACAGTTCTGTCCTTTTCATCATCGGTGGGAAAATAAAGGAAAACTGTGTCCAATTGTTACATACAGTCAGCGCGTTCTCATTCCAAGGTTATCAATAACTCACACTCTGTCAAGCCAAGCAGCATGTGATACCAATGCCAAAGGCACCAGGCTTTCAATTAGTTCCAATGTAAACCTATTTGCGGCAATATCTGACGCTGGGAGCAATTGACATACTATAAAAAGCAAATCCAAGAGATTGCTATTCATGTCCCGTGTGAAACCAAGCGGCAATCTAGGGGTTGAAGAATAAAGCCAATGTGATAGGGGAATCAACTACAGTTCTTTTAATGGCCACTTAGGCCAGTCAATCCCCATAGACCCCCATGATTAAATATGTTTACAGCCTGGTACAAAAACAGTTTTGGTCTCTGTAGCTAATTTCAACATTCATGACAACTGTCGGGGGTGGTGAATTTTTCTATAACCCACCCATTTAAATGTTATTAAGGCTAAAAGTCATACATAATTAAGGGTGGGCCGCTTTGAGTGGCAGGCATACTGCCAGTAGTGTCCACAGCTTCTTCACAGTGCCAGACTCTCACCCAAATATGGTCAGCTCTGGCTCTAAAAAACCAAGATGGCGACAGTCGGAGTCCACAAACCACTGGGTGGTGTCATGGTAGTTACATCCATTATTTTCACAGTCAGTGCAGTTTTAACACAACGTTATGTAACTTTTGTCCATGGGTGACGTCACTCGTGAAATATTTATGACACGTAGCATTAACCAAAACATGTTTCCTCTAAACCTAACTAAGTATTTTTGTTGCCTTAATCTAACTGCTAGTGTTCGACAATCACATTATAACGAGTTTCACCCAGTTCCGCGTTATAGAGGCGAAAGGGTACATTCAGCTTCTGTATCACATGGGAGAGGCATGAAAAAGCGCTGCTATTTGATGACCTGGGGTTGTCCACATTTGATGATGTGGGATGAGAACGCCTTGTATGTTAGCAATTGCATCATTTAAGTGGACCATTTCTTTTATTACATTGTGAATATTTAATTTTGGAACAAAATTCTTCAGCATGCTTGTACTGAAAGCAGAATACTGCTCATTGAGTGTTGTTCTTGCCTGGTCTCCTTTGTGTTTCACTGGTGTAAAATGCCCTCTGACTGTGTGCCCTGACCTTTGACACTGCTGGTGTTCATAAGTGTTCTTAATTTGCCTTTTAAAGAGCGCACTGAACCAGAGTATGAGGTTCCTGGAGAGAACAGCCACAGACCTGCCCGTAAGTAAACTAGCCCTTCAGTCTGAATGTGGAAGCTACTGTATGGTTTAAGCTTAAACTGATGTCAATCTCGCATTTCTTCTCGGCAGAACAAAGTTTTAGCAGTTCTTGATGCCATTGATGCTGCGCAGTACCTCATCTCACAGAATGCTTCACACTTAATCAATCGGGTAACTGAAGGATCACTTGTTTTGTTTATATTCTCAATTTGTAAAATGATCTGTAACATCACATTATTTCTTAATCTCCAACAGGAAACGGGGAAATACACAGCAACTATTGTTGGCTACTTCCATCAATACATAGAGTGGGTCAAAACATCCGTAAGTGTTCATTTGTTAGCTTGTTGAAGATTATGTGGTTCTCAACTTTAGCTGCAGTTCTCAAGTGTTGACTCAAATTTTCATTCTAATATTCATTAAAGTCAAACCCAAACACTGGAGGTACACAGAGGAGCGTGTTCTGACAAAAAGACCTGGCTGCATGTTACATAAGAGTTTTGGAGTAAATATAGAGAAGACGAATATAACAGTTACAACCTCTATAAATTTGAGGAATTTGCTTTGTGGCTCATTGGTTTCTGCTGTAGTTAACTTAAGGAATTCACAACAAAGTAAAAAAAAAAAAAAAACATGTTTGAGGGCTGTTTGTTGATCTCAGAGCAGTCAATAGAGCGGTTTTATTTCAATCACAATATTTTTGTTGTTTTCAGAAGAACACATGCAATGATCTATTGTGCAATGACACTTTGAATGAGCAGCAACATAACAGGATTTCCTCTTGAATTAAACATACAGAAAAGGGGGATGGTGTTACTGTTGATATACAGTGCGTATTCCTGAATCTCTTGTGTGTTGACATTTACTGTTTATATCTCACTCTCTACAGTTGGCTATGGAAGTTGCACCATGCAAGCCCTTCAGCAACATGGTGGACACGGCAGATATCATTGCTTGCAGTTTCTTGGTCGACTCCATGGTATCGATAAAAGGGATTTTAGAAAAAAAAAACAAACAAAAAAAACATTTAAACATTAGTGGGAATGTGTGTGACAGGGAGGTTAGCTGTGGCTTATTGGGGCTGGGTCTATCACAGCAGATATACTATAGGTATGTCATGGTAAATGGGAGTCATATTCACCCATTCACACACACATTCATACACTGGTAGCCGAGGCTACCATACAAGGTGCCACCTGCTTCTTAGTTTGTTTGTTTGTTTTTTTTAACAAACTCACACACCAATGGAACAGTGATCGGGAGCAATTTGGGGATCAAACTGCTGCTCTTCCGATTAGTGGACGACTTGCTCTACCTCTAAGCCACAGTCGCCCAAGCTGTTTATAATGGTGCATAAAAAGCCACAAAAACAGCTTGTTTTAAGGGTATTTTGAGTTTAGTTGAAACTTGGATAGCTTACACAATATTATGAAATCTTGGTCGATGTAAACTAATTTTACAAAGTGATACAGTAGATCAAAATTATACAATGTATGGTCATATAATAAGTGTGACTTCAATTACAATTGTTTTAAAACACCTTGTAGGACTGCAGCCAATCTCAGAACCCATCAGATCGGCCTGATGACATTTTAGCCTCCGTGGGTAACAGCCAATATTTCCGGTGACCAAGTGTGGCAAGCAGAACCACAGTCCAAGAATTCCTCCTCTTTGCCCTGGTCTTCACAACTTATCTCTACAGACATATATCTGCATATGAATGCAGATACATTTTTCAAAAAGCTAATATAAAGCTCCTTCATTGCCAGACGATAGCAGATGGGTTCAAAGATTGCATGTCAGCTAATGCTGACGACTGTTTATTTGCCACTCAAACATGATTGTTCAGTTTTACTCGATCTACAAACGTTGCCTAAAGATTCTGCATTCAAATGCAGATTAGACTGCAGCTAACAATTTCATTCATCATTACTTTCTTGATTAATCACTTAACCATTTGATTTATAAATGTCAGACAAAAGTGAAAAATGAGCCAAAGCCCAAGGTGACATCTTTCAAATTGCTTGTTTTGTCTGAACAACAGACTACAACCCAAAAATATTGAATTCCCTATCAGAAAAGACAAAGACAAGCGGCAAATACTCACAATTCATAACTTGGAACTAGATTATATTTGCTATTTTTGCTGGTAAAATGACTTCAGTGAGCAACAGGTGGTCAAAATATTTGTCTTTTAATATTGTGTCAATTGACTTATTGTTTAAGCTCTAATATTTTGTCTTTTTCCTCACAGAACACATTCTGGATGGGCCTGGGCTGCAGCACTCTCTTTCTGCTCCCAAGCATCATCCTCGCAGTGAAACTAGCCAAGTACTACCGCAGGATGGACACAGAGGATGTTTACGATGAGTAAGTACTTGTACTTGTTGTTCTACTGCAATTATACATTTACTTTATGGTTTGTATTTTAAAGAATGAGATATGATGATCCTTATGACAGTCTGCAGTCATACAGTACATATTTTATATCCTGTCAATGGTTGCAGGACATCCTTCTTCAGCTTCTCTTCTACCTGCTTTCTTCAAGTAATATCTATCGTGTAGGAGGAATTTCCCTTTTCAGTTTGTAGTCTGCTAATGCACTTACCTAAGGATTTGAATATTGTTTAATTATATATTTATTTATTTAGATTTTGTTTTACTTGCTTGGAAAGTTTTGAGTTTTAGATAAAAAGCAAAAACATTAACCTTTTTAGGGTTTATTGTTGATTTATTTTCTCCTCCCTTTTCTCTCCCTTGTAGTTCCTCTGTTTCTGGGACTTGGCATTTTACTTTGTGATAACCATTTCTACTATTTCCATCTTCCATATCTTTTTTGTTGTTTTTTTTTGTTTCATTCCTCTCTCTCAAGCACTTGGCACTTTACAAAGAAACACTGACGCTTGTCAATTTATATTTATTCTCTCATGGACCTTTTGTTCGCTCATTTAATCGTGGCTTTACACAAATACAACGTAATGTCTCGATCAGTGGCGTCTGTCGTCATGTGATCTGTGCTGGGTTAAAGGCTTTCTGACTTTCTGGTGCATTTCTATCGCTGAGCATTTCAATAACATTTTTATGTTGGTTTTTTTTGTGTATCTTTATAGCATTGAGACAATTCCCATGAAAACGTAAGATATTTTACCCACCTCCCTCTCCCTTTCAGCTCCTATCACTCTGTGCTTTTCTCTGGATCTTGTACATAGACTTGTTTACTAAATTCTTGGTGCTGGTTTACGTTTTTAAGCTTGGAATTGCTCTTATGGGTGGATGGTGTGGCTTCTTGTCGTGTGCTACCTTTGAAAAGTGCCCCTTACCTTTCACGAAGGGCTCTTGCAATCATTACCTTACAAGTCCACCTGTTTTTTGTAAGTTATAGTGTAAATAAAACGCTATAGTTTATACTCAAAAAATATTTATCTCTTAACATCTTGAAAAGTTTGACTACTCAAAAAGAAAAGCATTTTTACTCTAAAACTTTAATCAGCATGTCTCTCACATTACATTTTTCATCCCTTTTTTGTATACAATATTTTGTTTTCAGTATGGAAATTGGTAATAATGGTTATCATAGTGAGAGCTCACAAGGTATCCCAAATCCTATGATAACAAGGTAAACATTATAATAATCCTGTTATTGCATGTTATGGGCGGTGGAGGCATGCCTGGGGACGTGGGCTTTTTACACGCAAAATGACGTGGCTGGACAACTGTGCATGCCTTTGAGGGATTTGATGTATTACGCACATTCACACACACAAATTTATGGAGGTCAGCAAACTGAACAGTAAGATGAAAGCTGACAAGTAATGGTAGCTTTTCTTGAAAAACATCCAATATGACATTTAGTATTTTAAATCTAAAAAGTACCTTTAAGAGCTTTAAATAGATTTATCAAAGAATTTCAAGGAATATTGCAACAATTTGGGATACAGGTATTTCAGTTTTCTTTCTTGGAGTTAGATGAGAAGATTGGCACCACTCTCATGTCTGTGTTAAGTAGAGCCACACGTAGCCTGGTTTAGCATTTAGACTGGAACCAAGAGAAAACAGCTAGCCTGGCTCTGTCTAGAATGGAAAAAAAATAAGCTTACCGACAACTCTAAAGCTCGCATAGTGTGCTGTATCTGGTGGACAAGAGCTAGGCACATTAACTTTGGTGACTGGTAGACTCAGGGAGTGGGGAACAGAGGGGCAGGTCACCCTCCTTGGTGTCCCAATGTTCTTCGACACCCCTATGGTAGAATAAACATGATAAAGTCCCCTCTAGGGTGCCCTTCATTCAAAGAAAACGTGATGCAGAGCTATATAGGCTGCCCTACATGCTAGAAAACTTTCTGCATGCTCTTGGCCCACCACATGCAGCCGGTGCCCTTTCTAAGGCAGCCTAAGTCCATCACTGCTTTGGTGTCCCATTGTTCATCAAGAAACTGTTTCAGCACAAAACTTCCCCTAAAACCTGCAAATTGTTCTTTTTTATGGTTCCCACAGGATGAATCCTACTGACTTTTGGTGGTTACATCTGTAGTTTTTAGTGATATGTCATGGCATGAAATGGACCTTTGTCATAGCAAACATTTTGACTTATCATAGTAGGAAAAGCACAGGTGTTACTAATGACACTCAGTACTATTCAAGAGTCCACTGGCATTGTGAGCATGTCAGCATTTAGCTCAAAGTACTGCTATGTTTAAGTACAGCCTCACAGAGCTGTGTTGATTACATTTCTGATTATCTACAAATAAACAAGACACTACATGTTAATTATTGAGCTTTAGAGGTGCTGCAAATGGTATTTTTGATCTTTGGAGAGAGCCAGGCTAACTGCTTCCTGCTACCTGTCTTTATACTAAGATAACAATGTCCTTGAACTGAGCTCTGTACTTAACACACACACGAGATTAGTGTGAATTGCTGTTGTAAATTTTTCAGTCAGTCTCATGTTAATAATGTTGCTACCATTACTTCTCTTATTGCCAGATGTCCTGCTTTGTGGTTTTTGGGGGAGTCTTCCATGTATCACTAACCTCCTGCATGCTCTGTATGTGCACTGGGATGTTGATGTGGAATGAAAAATCTTCCTGTTTCCTCTCATTTAGAGTCAGCCAAAGTCCGATGAATGTACACCTGATCATTTTGTTCAGAGAGAGGCAAGCATGTCAAGCTTTGGTGTGATGCTGCGAATGCTGCTCCTTTGATTTTCTTATTAATCTAACAAAACGTCTAACTGCATGATACGTATTTTTAAGTTGCACTGGGACGAGGATGCGTTTGGACAGACAACCAACTGTAACAGAAGATAACGGAAGAGAGCAAAACAGCTACAGCAGACATCTTTACTTTCACAATTATCTTTAAACTTATTTAACATGTCTCTTACATGAGTGGAGTTTTATTCCAAATGGTGCTATCCAGTTTTTGAGTGACTGCTGAAAAGTAAAACCCAAAGACAATACTTTATTTGCCATTTTGTGGTCTTTACTTGAACATTTTTCAAAGATGGAATTGTCTTTTTTTTTTCTGTGATTTACTTCTATATTTTTCTCAAAATGGATACAAGATGGTGGACTGAAACTTGTAAATCATGTCCAAAAGGCCGTCATAATTTTTAAAAGGGGCAATGAGTAATATATGACCTCTACTGACCTTTATCAACAAACACTAGCTACTGGAACACTGACACTTCATCCTCCAGGTTCAGCCAGGTACCACCACTTTGTCGCGCCCCTTCGCATGTGATATGAACAGTCCGTTTAGGATGGGAAGAAAGGGGAGGTGAATAGGTCAAACAAAACCAGACTTTCATCCAGGAGACCAAAGTTTGTGTCCCGTGTGAAAGCATAAGTCAGTGTTGTTTTAACGTAACATTACACTACCGTCGCTGCATACTGACGTCACTCACTCAGCATATTCACGTCACGCTATGTAACATTCTACTTATTTAAACCCAAAACATGAGCTGTTTTTTAAATCTAACACAGTACTTTAGTTGCCTAAATGTAACCGTGACCTTTTCACAATATGAACCACCTGTCAACAATGTGTTTTAGTTGCGTGTCACATAGATGCGCTCAAGGATTCCCTATGCATCACTATGAGACGCCAAGGGGCGTGACAAAGAGTTGGCGATTAACCTGAAAATGAGAACGGGTTGGAACACAATGGGAGTGTGTGAATAAAATTTTGAGAGCCTGATATCTAATCTCTGGTGAACTAATTCTTGCGTCACTGATATTGATCGACAACCCCATAAAACACCAAGTAATATAATTATCTTATAGTTTCAGAGAGGAACAACTTTACGTATTGCCCCTTTAACTGACCGTACAGTTTGTCAATCTTGATGTTGGTGAAGCTGTTCTGCTCTCTGCCTTGTGAACCCCTCGTCCTGCTTCTCTTTGCTCAGTAAAAGAAGAGAAGCAAGCAGCAGTTGTTGAGTTTTTTTCTGTGGCTCTTAATATTTTTTCCTCTGCATGTCGTTCTGTGCCGGTAGCATCCCTACCTATGACACTATGAACAGGTTCCCGCGGGCCTCGGCTCCTCCGAGGCACATCGACTGGTGACAGAGAGCCAGCTCGTGTTCTGGCTCCTGAAAGGTACTGAAAAACTTTGTGTCAGACCTCTTGTTTCTCTAAGACATTTTAATGTAACTCCTTCCTTCCAGTCTTAAATCTTTCTTTTTGCACAGCTGTCATCTTGTCCTGCTGTGTCTGCTGTCCCCACGCCATCTATCTCTCTCCTGTATTTAATCTATTTTCTTTGGATTTCTTTTTCTAACCAAACTCTTTAACACCTCTTTACAGCCTCTTTTAGTGCTTTTCTGCTCACAGTGACTTTGCAGGAAAACCATCATGGTGAGAATTGCTCATTTTGGAATCACTAACAAACCATAAATGTCGTCACGGTATTTATGTCTAACTACTTGTGACTGCTTAGTCAATTGAGTAGAGAGGAGAGGAGCTGAATGTGCTTATGTGCTCATTTTCTGTTTTGTTTGATGCTTATTGAGGATATCAATTTGGTTCTAAAAACTGCCCCATTTACAAAACAGTCAGTATTTAAGACATACTTTGGTTGTAGTTAACAGAGTTAATGTCATGTAACATAACGTCAAAGTTTCAACCTAATGCTATACAGCATTTTGGAATTTAGCTTTTAGTATCTGGAGGGGAATGTATTATTCCCAGAGGACAGCAGGTTGTATAAGACTACTATAACAATAGTCAGATTCTTCCAGTAGCAAAAAGCACCATGCAGTCTTTGAGAACCCGCTATGGAGCTTCATGAAAGACTTAACTGACTGCACTCTTATGTCTGTTATTTCACAAACCAGCCAGAGCTGCATTAATCTCCTGGGCCATTCAGAATAAAAAAGTAATACAGTATGTTCTGAATTATTCACTTAATATGTAAAAATCTAATTCATTTTTCTCCAATATTTGCCTTCCCAGTGCCCTTGAAAACTGGAACTAAAATACACCATAGTAAGTAAGTCTGACATCTTACATTTTAGATAGAAGCCATTTAGTTGAATCTGTTGCAACCGATCCAACAGCAGAATGAGTTCTCCGGATCAATAGTAAGGAATACAATAGCTCTGAATCATTGCTGTTGAGACGTCTATTTAACAAGTAATTTACTCTTGTATTGAGTCTGAAAATCTAATTTTCCTTAAGAAAAAGTGGAAAAAGTCAGCCAAATGAGAGCAGCAATTGTAGCAATTTTACCTGAAAGGAGAGCACTGACAGGAAGACAGTTAGGAAAGTGGTAGAAGTTGAACTTAAATTACCCCCAAAAGATCACTGGTATATCAATTATTCATTAATTGAATATGTGAATTGTCTTGCATGCCTCCACGATGAATGAAGAATCCAAAAATGGAGAACATTCTTGATAAATTGAGGTCATCGGGGGCGTTAAAAACATCATAACTATATTAGAACATCTATTCACAAACTCTCACACAATACGTTACTATTTTACACACTTTCGCATAAACTTTCTCAGGATAAGTGCTGAAAAAATATACTGTTGTGTACCAGTGCAGAATTCCAGGTACCTGAACTAAGACCAGTATCAGTTCATATGTGAACCATACTTAACCCTATATGTGAGGAAAATAAAGTTTTCTTTATTCAACATTACACAGGATGAGTAATTGATATACAAATGACCATTCGGGGGTAAAGCATTCCTTTAACTTGTCCTAAATTGGTACAAAAGTAGAGCAATGTGTATGTGCAAAAATATGTGAAGCGAGGTCCAGATATATTCAGTATACTTTGGGATTACTAATCGAAACTTTTCTTTTGTACCATCTATTTCAAGCTGTTGGTTTATCGACCCCTCGGACAAGAAGAAGCCCAATAAAAGCTGGTTTCCTTACAACAGAAGAAGAACACACAAAGCCCTCTGGGATTTTATTTTTCTTCAGCGATCAACTCAACCTCCTCAACCAGGCAGATCACAGCCTCCGGTACAGTTACCTGCACCCTCTCCGAAAAACTCTGCCTGCAGGACATCAAACTCTTCTCCCTCAGCATCAATCTGAGCCACGCTTGTACTGCTTTTTTTTTTCAAAGGACTGCTGTGTCTGCGTTTACATTTGTTCAGACACAAAACCACGCTGAAAAATACATTCAGCAAGAGGACATGACAATAACTGCGATGCCTGTTCATATAAATGTTTGTGCTGAAGAAGACAGTGGCTGAAAGGTCACCCGAAAGTCATGGCAAGCTGCTACAGGAAACTTTTAGTCCTGCACTTAGATTGGATGTATCACATTCAACACAAGCTAATGCTAAAGGTGGAACAGTCTGTCAAGACATCTACAAGGAAAGGTGCAAATTAAGATGAAATTCAATGTGTTAAAAAGCACTGCTTTGTTGAGGAAGAAGCATCCTTTTTAACTGCAGCATGTGTGAGTTGGTTGGTGTGTGTGTTCCTTAATGACTGAGAACTGGATGATTTAAACAAAGTGGTAAAAATACAGAAACAGGTTGGTCCCAGGTGGATTCTTATAATTAATATTAAGAAATTTAGCATGACTTAAAAAAAAAATGTTTACAGTATCACAAAACAGTTTTGAGTTCCTTGCTGGTTTTTGGGCGAATTGCAAATGACTGGTTGCCTTTCAGAAGTATGTTTTTTTTGACAGATATGCTTCTTTTAAAAGGGGAAATCCACCCACAGCTCTTACACTGCTAAAAATAACCAACATGTCATGTTATTTTGTGGTATGGTGTTCAAAATATACATTTTACTTTTTTAGCATATGCATTTTCCCTTAACTTGTGTCATCTACTCTTCATTTCCTACATTTCCCAAAATCTATTTAAACATCCCTCAATTTATAATAGGTGGGGAAAAAAAGGTGGGACAAACATCACAGCCTGACATGGCTTGTTGCTGCTTTCTGGTCTACTTAAACTTATGTCAGTATGTTTGTTTCTTTTAAGGAATTGCTAAAAAAAAATAAAAATAAAAAATTTATATATATATCTATATATATCAGTGTTGGACAAAGTGTTGGTGCTTAGTCCTGAGTACATTTTGGACCAATAGTTCCCAAATGTTTTGGTTAATTACCAATCAAAATTAAGGAATTTATAGATGCAGACCCTCCTCACAGGTAAGAAGTTTAACCAAAGAGTTATTTTCCAAGCAGAGATTGATTTATGTGAATAGTTTTTGACACATAAAAGCTACTTCCTTTCCTGCCTTTCAATCATCTCCAGAGCCTTCAGCCATATTTTCAGACCATTTAGGGAGTCCCAGGTTGGATACAAGACTACAACCATATACCACCAAAAACAAGACAAATCAGCAGTATAAGTGTGTAAGGTGGATTTTCCCTTTAATTCTCATGAAGTCAGAGCATAACTTCTTTATATATCACTCACTATGACAGAAGTGTCAGGCTTATAGATTGTTCCTAGGTGATGAATTGATCAACAGAAGCTATCATGTTGAGTTCACTAACATGAGATTTTTCTTGCTCTCATAGTAATGATACATTTTAATTGGAGAAATACTTTCTCAAGCCAAATTGTTTTTTTACTGTAGGTCTCAGGTTTTTAGTGATCTATCAGCTATATGCTTATTTTGTTTCTGCTTTTTAAAACCCCACAGTAGCTATGGATACATTTAAAAAAAACTATAAGGAACGAGTGAATGTATTCAAGAGCTATTTTTTATTTTGTATAACTTGATGAAGTTGGCTGAGAAATATGCTGAAGTCTTGTCACTAACGCATTGGGCAAGCCAATCTGGTTATTCCACCCACCTCGCCGCCTCCACGTTTACAGGTTAGATTTGCAGCTGCTGTCGGCTACATACAGTAGTAACGATGGTGGAAAATTAGACAATCCATTCATGGGACAAGTCAAATGGTAGAAAACGAGTAGAATGCTTTACGGTTTACACAGCTGATGGGGTTGATGCACACTGTGAGAAAATAATGTCCATCTTAACACTGAAAGTTTAAACTACACACATTTAGCTAACTGAATATGCTAACGATGTAACAGCAGAACAAGCTAGCCCACAGCACTTACTTGACAGTAACAAATCTAACTTTACAGTACTAAAGAATATGATTGTACATTTAATCTAGTAAAAAAAAATGACAACAAGATTTAATAGATATGTATATTTCAATATTTTCACTGTATTTTAGTGATTTTAAGAAAGAGCAGACACCATTTTGGAAAAACTTTGATGCTAGCTTCTTTAGTCCGTTAGCATCAACACTGTCAAACTTAAAACCAGAAAACAACAGAAAATATGACATCTCCCATAACTTACTAACAAATAACTAACTAATAGGTATATAATTTTAGATAAGAGTTTGGGCCACACAAAGATAAGTGTTATCGGGTTAGTTAGCTAATAGCTTTAGTTATAAAGCTAGCTTTCTTGTTCTACACACAGTATTGTGCACATATTAATAATAAATATAAGCAGTATACCATACATACTGCATACACCTGTGTTCAAGATTACATCTTACTGTGATGTAAATTCAAAATGGCTCCAGTTAGCATAAGATTATCTAACAGTTTCTTACTTCTTTCCTGTTAAGACGGACATTTTTTAAGTATCTGTGTGCTCACTCTGACAGGACTATCATTCTTGTCTGCTAGCATCTGGATGTGACCCATCTTGAAAAAAAAAATAGGGTCTGATTTTCCTTGAAGTGCTTAAACTAGATGTTGCATATCCAAACCTACAGGACAGATACTGGTTTGGTTTACTGGTAACTGGTGTGAACTGCGATGCTCCAAAGTTGGGCACTGATGGAGCCACTGAAGAGGAACTTTATATGTGGTGGTGAAAAGAGTGTGTACAAATTGTGAATAAACTTTGAAATTCAGTTTGTTATTTTACTGTCTTTTTTTCAGTTTGGTTTACATTTTGGTGGCTTTCCAAGGATGCCCAAAACCTTCTGTCATTTAAAAAAAGGAGTGCCTTGAATATACCGCCTGGTTTTGGGTAACATGCTTTTAATCTTGGCAAATATTTTGTCTTAATCCCAATGAAAGATATATTTAGGGGATTTATTACTTGTGATAAAGCACTGCACACATGCTCTAACAGCAAGAATTTGAAATTCTATTTACATAAGGCTATCTTTATAAAATAGTGTGCTGGTTAGGTCAACATACTTCTCAATGTGTTTTACGCAAAACAAATGGCATGAAAAAGGTGGAAAAAGTACTTAAAAAGCAGTACCACAGTGGAGAAATACTCATTACAAGTAGAAGTCTTGTATTCACAATTTTACCCAAGTTAAAGTACAGCATTGTCAGGAATAAAATATACTTAAAATACCAAAAGTAAAAGTACTCATTTTGCAGGAAATGGTCCCATTTACAATAATGTATAATATTTTATTAGATTATGATTACTGATGCAGCAAGTAAATGTGGGGCTAATTTATTTATTTACATTTTATTTGAAACACTGCATGGTAGCTTTTGGAGTTCCCCTAGATGATAAACAGTCTTACTGAAATAATAAAATGTATTTGTTAATTTTATTTTGTATTAATAATATGAATCTGGAAAGTAGCTTCCGTTATTAAAAAGGTATTTCAGTAAAAAGCACAACTTATGCCTATGAATTTTAACAGCGTAGAAATATATAGTAGCAGAAATAGGAATACTCAAGTTAATTGTATGTACCTCAACACTGTACCTGAGTTGACTACTTGATGTACTCAGTTTCCACCAATGGTAACATGAGAAACCTTGCTCATGGTGTATTTTAATTCTTTAACACAAGACTGCACATTCCTATGTGGTGCTGACACTGCTGGCCAGAACCCACTGGTTGCGTTACTGGTCAGCTATTTTCAATGGGTGATGATTATCTTCTCCCATAAGCTTCGTTCTGAGGTTTTCTCAGGCACCAAACAGTATCTGAATAAACACCAGAAGCAAAACCACATTCTGACTCATTCCTACTTCTGAATAAGCTTGTATAAAAGACAGATGAGAACAAAAAAAAAATCCTTAAAAACCCCAAGCAGTGGTTCGGAGAAAAATCTTTTTTTACCGTGTTTACTTGCAGATCAAACACTGTGTTTAAACGGTTATTTACGAGATTCTGCGGAAGTTGTACGTTACTGTATGTACAATCTATCTTTAGCTTGATGGTTAGAGCCAAACACCAATAGTATGTACTTTAGGGGGCTCTGGAGAAAAATATTCACACATTAAAATGGATAACATTGTTATCTGTCATGAGGAAAATTCACTAGTTGAGAGCCGGCAAAGATAATGCTACATATCTCACTACATTATAGATGTTGTAATTTTCATGGCTTCATGGCTTTTTATTTATTAATATGTTTATTAGTGGAGCTCCACATACACACAGCTTTGCATCTTGAATGTGTCTCATGCTTTATCTTCATTTTTTTATTGTTATTTCCAACTTGATATGTGTATTGTCCCGTGTTAAGAGGTGCCACATACAACTGCCCCTCACAGAGATAAATAAAGCTGTACAGTACTAAAGTGCATGCAAACCAGTGGACGGCATGCTATGCATTTACACAGGGAGATAACTTACATAAGACAAAGTATGCCTGTGAATATGCTGCAGTCTCAGGGGAGCACAAGCACTCAGGGGGTAATGCAGAGAAGACTTAATGAGAAGCACTTCTGATTCTTCAGCAGCTTAAGAATTTCAAAAATGACAAAAACTTAATCCCTAAATCGTGACAAAATTATATGATGGAATAAACATCAAACTCACAACTGAAGAGTGGTGGAAACTAAGTACATTTACTCAAGAACTTCACTGAAATTATGAGGTGCTTTTACTTTTCATGAGTATTCAATTTTATGCTTCTTTGTAGTTAAACTCCAGTGCATTAAATATATCTGACAATTTAACAGATTAGGATTAAGATTTTACAAGCAAAATATGTGATCTTTTTGTAACATGTAAGACTGTGTAAGCGATTAAACTGTGCAACAGTATATAAAGTAGTTAAAATGTGCTCAACATCCACCCTCTGTAACATTAAGAAGCTGCTTACATAATAATCCAACAATTTAATGTATAAAATAACTATTTGAACCAGTGTGCCCAACACAGTACTTTTACATTAATACTTATGGTACGTTTTCCTGATGAAGTTTTTAATGATACTTTTCTATTAGGTTAAAAAAAATAAATGGATTTTTCACTACTGCTATTGAATAACTGTGAGTACAGGCCTACTAATGAGCTTTAGAAAACAGTGCTTTTTTGAGACATTCAACATTTATTCACCTGCAAAATGACCATTTGTTTATCAGTTACTTAGCATGTCACCTTGAATTCACAAGGAAAACTTTGTTTTTCTCTCACTCCTCCAAACATTTCGTAAATTAAAGTCTTGGGTCCGCATTTAATAAAAGAACAAAACTACATCAAAACATGTGTTTACAAATTCCCACACAACTCATGCAGTATAATCCAAGTCACAATTATCCAGTTGTATGCTCGGGACTTCCTAAACGCATGCATTTTCACTTAAATGTTACAATATACAACACTTTGGCAACAAGTAACATGCCATGAGCATGGCTGAGTAAGCGTGTGCGTATAGTTTAAATGCACACGTGTGACCAGGCTGTACATGAGACTGTTTCTGCTGATGAGTTTTAAATCAGAGCATTTTAGTGAAAATGCATGCGTTTGGGACATACTGAGGATACGACTGGATAGATGAGACTTGGATTACACTGCACGAGTTGTGTGAGAGCTTGTAAACAGACGTCTTATTATAGTTGTGCTGATGTTAACCGCGGTCTCCTTTAACTTCAATTCATGAACAATGTTTGCCTTTTTTGGATTCTCTGTTCACCTCAGGGTACAAATTGTAATTTTGCAGGTGACGTACTCCATTAATTGTACTGTATATCCATGAACATTAGGCAAAACATTGTGACCCTACAGTTTGTTTCACTTCACCCAGTAAAGCTAAGTCTCTTCAGGATGTGTTGACCACTTTTCCCACTTTACTCACAATGGGACCTTTTTCTCCAGATGGGCATGAAAGTGAAGCCACTTTAGACATATCCTACCCCACTCTACAGCCATCGTCTTATACAGACCTTTCTTGTTCTTTCTTAATTGGCACAATTACTTACTACGCTCCCCAGTGAACTTCGTCCATGTGTGAGTGACTTCGACTCACGTTTCTTCGTGGTTGTGCAGTCTGATTGTGTTTATATTTGGGAGGGAAATGATAGGCTAAGCTGCGTGGCTGTGAGCTCCAGCTGCCTTGTAAAACAAGCAAGAACTTGACGGTTTCAGGAGGCTTGTTTACATGAGTATATTCCCAGACATGCCACTTTTTTTTTTTAATTGAGATGTACTCAGCGGACACAGGAAAATTATTGAAAACTATTATGTTTGCATGATTGCATAAACCCTCTGGCAACAGAAATGTGTCACACTTTTTGCTAAAAATTATTCTATGAGACACAACTGACATAACTTAGTTCTGGAATTTCTTTATGTGATGTTTTGTACTCTCAGTACCATTACCTGGATAAACATTAGTATCACTGTAAACATCTCACGTGTCCTTTGCCTTCTCCAGACAGTAATAACTGATCCTCCTCCCATAAAGTTTTGCTTGGTGTGACTGTTTTTTTTTTTGGTTTTTTTTTTTTTGGTACCATGAATTCTTTCTTTGTCTGCTCAGGAAATAAATAGCAGGAGGGACCCTCAGCTCGAGCAGTCTCACTCTCCTCCTCTTACACTCAGGATCCATCTGACACCATGTGGACCCAAGTCAGTGCTCTGCTGCTGCTGCTTGCCTGCTGCCTTTGGTCAGCAGATGCTCAAAGCGAGAGGAGACAAAGCATCTGGGATGAGCCCATTAAATTCAGCACCAAGGCCAAGGACATGTGCACCATGATCATCACCGGCCACGGTGAATACACCAAGCTGAGGCTATCATGCCAGAGCAACAAGCGCTCCTACTGGTGCGAGTACATCGGCAAGCCTTACACCTGCCGCCCCTACAACAGAGACCCCCGTCACTACTTCGTCCAGATGATGTGGGGCCTCAGAAAGCTCCACAATGCCTGCCAGGCGCCGAGGGAGATCAAACCTTTCATGTGCAGGAAGGCAAGTGATGACTCTCAAATGGTCTTCTCATCTGGTTCATTTCCCCGGTCATCACCAGAGGCTTCTTCAAGGACAGCAGGAAGACAAGCAGAACAGCCTGCCAGACCTCAACCTCGTCGTGAGCCAGCAAGGCCAGTCCCACCACGAGTCAGGACCACTCCGAGAGCCAGTCCACAACCAGTGACACCACCTGTGGAGAGCGATGCTAAGAGGATGGCTCAACAGTACTGCTGGAGGTCACTTCAAGGCGTCTGCTCCTACTTCATTGGTTTGATTCGGAAATAACGAGGGAGGAGGTGAGCAGCAGAACCGGGCCTCTTCATTTACACACAGCTTTTATTATGTTGTTTTAGGACTAATCTAAGAGTACTGTGGTGGAATAAGGATCCTGTGTATTTAAAATCAAGTTTGCCTCCAGCATTCATTTGCAAAATTCAAACTTTTTCTTTTCTTTGCTCAAAATATTACTGATGCACATAATTTACAACTGTATGCATTCTCGCCTCTGTTATATTCATAGATTTACAATTCTGATGAAGATAACTTCTGATGTCTGATTAAAGTGGCCCTTGGAGGGAAATCCCAGACCAGCAGTTTGTACATCGTGATAGAAGAACTGTAGTGCTCTCTTCCGGGGGAGAAATGGTACTGCTGTGACGTCCAAAGCAGGATTTCTCTGTGATCATCTTCCAAACATCACATCTGGGAAAAAAAAACTCTACTACCTGTCTTATCTGAGGTGGTTTACAAAGTAGACTATAAAACCCATGTATGAAACAGTACGAGTACAGAATGTTTCTGCAGCTGCACACACCTTCACAACAACATACAGGCCTGGGACAAGAGAGGCAGACAACTCATATGTGTCACTTTTTATATTTATGTTTGTTTACTTATGCATATGATCTACTTACATCACTTAATATTACCTTGAATAATACATTGTTGGGAGAGTCATAAGTTTTTACTTTGGCCTGATGATTTCCGTACTGATGTATTTGACAGAAATATAATGAATGTAAAAATGATTTTCTTAAATAAACAATACTCTTAATAATTCTGTGCTGTTCAACTTGTTTTTGCTCAGTCTTGATGAAAAACAACTACAAAAATGCTGCACAAAAGTTAAACATATTGAGTTTCTTGGTAGCAAAAGAGCAGCAATATTGAAAGCAGCTGCTACACAGCATCAGTCCTGCTTTACTATATTTGACCATTGGGTGGCGCTGTTGCTTAAATTAAACAGACAGATTTCAGTCAGTGATTTTCAGGGATTTTCTCCTGCAGGGACATCTGGCTCTTTTCAAGATATTTCAACTAATTTTATCTTTGGCATGCTGTACTAACAGATGGTGCAGTAAAGGTTTTTAAAAGACTCAGTTATTTGCATTTGTTTGAAATTAATACCTTATAAGTGAAGTTATCATGAAAGCAGGTGGACCTCTTATAGCACCCAGCACAATCTGCCAAAACAGATTGTTTTTAGTCCTGATATCTACGTTTATACATAAGTACAAGTACAAGTGTTTGCTTAATTTAAATTAGTTTTGACTAGGAACTAAGATGGATAAAAATAGAGTCAAAGTCAATCAATCATTTGTCACATGAAATCACACAATGTACAACTTCATTGAAATGTGATTGTGTCAGCTCCTTCAACCTGAGCAGTATAATTAAGTCTCTTTTTTTTGCCTCTACTTACATTGTGGGCTGCGACTTCATAGCTGTCCGTGTTTCTAGATGGTTCTGGTACCCCATGCTTTCTGGTTTAGGAACGATTAAACTGAAGTTTTGTGTACAGCTGCCTCTGTTGTTTTACAAATTAAATCCACCACAGACTCAGTGAATTCATTGATGTCATTAGTGACGTCGACGGTGGTGTCCTGAAGTGTGCTCCACATTCTGACTGGCTCCATCCTATGCGTTGTTGTTTGTTTACATATCTTGACCTCAACAAGAAGGCAGCATGGTCACTCCTTCCCAACATGCACAACACAGATGTTGACAATGTTGACATTTGAAAACCTCGACCTGGCTAGCTAGGAGAGTCACAGGAGTAGGTTACAGACTGTTTAGTCGATTTCCTCATCCTAAAAAGTGACTCGCAGCCACCATCCAACACCAACCACAAAGAACACCACCATTTCCTGTAATATTTCAACATACAGACTGGAGAGCATGTGTTAACATTTTTTTCCAGGCACAGTTTCACAGTAAGTAGCTGCCTAGACTAGCCAGCTAAAAGGAAGCAGGAGGTTTTTCTTTGGAGAATTTCATTTTTTGATATTAAATTTTGTGGTTGTGGCTTACACTGGGGCAGGATCAGCAAAGCAAAAAAGTAAAAGAGTTGACAAATGAACAAAAATTGGAGAACTGGCCCTCTTCTTAAAGGTATGTAATGCATCTATTTTATTTATGAAATACGAGATATGGTTTTGCATCAGTTTATCAATTTACATTTGTAGCTAAATCAAAGCTAGCTAACTCTTTGGCATTTGTCAAGCAAAGCAAGTCCTGAAACGCCTGTGACATGCAGCAGGCAATCAACAGTAGTTTCTATAAATTTAAAAAGCTACACCACTGAAGTAACTAAAGCTATTTATGAAAGAGAGAGAAACAAATAAATACAACATTCAACAGGGAGCTGCCAACATCAGCACAAAATTAAAGTTCCTTATAGTTGCTTTAAAGTGAAATTATCTCACTGTTGCTGGCTGATAAGCGGATTTATTTTGTGGTAGTATTATTTCATTTAATTTTTAAAGCATTAGTTCATTAATGTGATTACATAAAACTCCACAAGCTTTATGAAAATAAGAAATATTGTTTAACAGGCAGTAATATAACACAAAATATTTTTAAAGAGTCCTTGGCTGACTAGTATGAACTCAACAAACTTTGTAAGCTGTACAGTTATGCAGTGTGTGTGTGTGTGTGTGTGTGTGAAGGGGAGGGCTGACTGCAGCAGCACTGTGTAACTGCAGGTACAGTAAAGGCGACTCTGAGCTCTCAGGTGACTGGACTGTTTACAAGTTTACTCTGAAACTTCAGGTAGGTAAAGATATTGCTGTTTGATGTAGACTCAGATTACTCATCACTTTACCATTAGTATAGTATTAGGACTTACAGTGTGAGTGTTTGTGTAGTAGCTGCTAGGTACTTTGGTGCCTTCTTATTACTTTAATGTTTCTATAACATTCTTACAGTGATTTAAAAGGCTCACAACTTATTAAATTCCTCACTGTGTTACTATAAATGTGCATGTCAGCACTTAGAGTAGCTTTATTGCATTGTCATTTCTACTCCTACTATATTCATGTCACACTTTACTCCGACTGTTTCATCTTTTAAACCAAGGATTAAATCTTTGTTTGGCTCAGCCTTTTATTAAATAACTTTCAAGGCTATTTATTCATCCCTCTTATTGCAGTGTTTTTATTCCTCTTTTTATTCTAATGTAGTCCTTCATATCTTATTTTCATCTTTCATTCTGTTAAAATCCAATTTATATGTGACTTTTTATATTGCCTTGTGTTTCCTTTATAGCTTGTCTTTAATGTGAAGCATTTAAATAGCCTTTAAAAGATGTCATTCTGAAAAACCTGCCTTGCTTTTTTTGTTTTGTTTGGGTTCACTTTCTTAAGCCTAGAGTGCCCCGATAATGTTTCTGTAAGAATATCAGTCATTTGAATCTAAAACAGGTCTGATAGGGGATTATGGTTTTTTTTTAAAGAAGGAAAATGAAAGGGGTTTAAGATATCTAAATCCTAATCTATCCTCTTGCAGGGTGTTTCGTGCTGGTTTCATGGCTTTCCTTACCAATGCTACCATCCTGCTGGTCCTCGCTTGTATTTCCCATCAGCTGGTGTTGAGCAGCTGCCAAAAGAGCCATGGACGGAGGGGAAGAGGCATGGACAGAGGACAACACAAGGACAAGCCAGGGCTGAAAGTGGGCCGCCAAGCCAAATCTGCCCCTGCACAGCCCATTAAAGGCAAAATGGTCACCAAAGACAAGTCAGAGTGCACCTGGGCAGCAACAGGTGATGATTTCTTCACCCTCGGTTTGACCTGCAAGAAGGGGGACAAGAGCTTCAGCTGTGAATATGTCGCCAGACCGGCTGTCTGTCCCCAGTATGCTTCCAACGTCAAACTTTACTGGAAGCAAATCACCAGAGCGCTGAGGAAGCAAAAGAGTTTGTGCAAAGACAGTAGTGCGTTGGTCAGGGCGGGTGTGTGCAGAGGAGCTGCCAGAGATGCTCATTTCAGGCTCCGTAATGCTCAGAGGAAGACTTACCCATCTTCCACTCCAAAACCAGCTCCCAGAGCTGTCAAATCCTGTCAGCCTAATAACAGGAAGCTGGCGGAGGAGCACTGCAGCAGCTCCTGGTCGAGTTTTTGCACATTCTTTTTCACTATGGTGCAGGATTATGATTGCTGAGACAGAAACAGTTGAGAACTTAAATAAATTCAGCTCTCTATCTCCATTATGTCAACACTTGTCTTATTAAAGATTTTTATAGATGCTAGTATAGATGCATTTCTTCACATCTTTGGTGGTTCTACTCCTCAATAAACACTTTTTCTACCTATTCCTTAGTGTGGCTTGATGATTTGTCAACTAACCAGAAATTTACTGGGATGATAGCTTGCTTTTGAAGAAAAATACTTGAAATAACTTTGTTCCCTCCTGGAGAACAAGACAAGAACATCCTGTTCTGTCATTTTAAAACAATTTCGTTCATGTCAGAGCAGTGTTTCTGTCTTCTCCAAGTGTGTATCCTACTGAAGGTATTTGCTGGGAGATCAGGAGTTTGAGCATGTTGGGTATTGACACAGTAATGTTACCAGAGGGAGTGTGATTTTTAGAAAGGCTTGGCCTGCATACTTTGGCACAGACAAGCCTCTTAATAAAAACATGCTCACCTTGCAAAATCAAAGTCAAAGGGCAGACTTGTCTTGTAAAGAGTATCACGTAATATTAACAACAAAAGATATTTGGCAGATTTAACTGAAGATATATTATGTTTGGCCTTTAAAACAGGATCATTAGACCTTTCCACTCCATTTCAGTTCCAGAACATACAGTTGACTCATGCTCTGAAATTACAGGTTGGAATGGAACAACTTAATGTCTTACATGAGATTCAATCAGCAATAGCTAGTATAGCTGCAAATAGTTCATGAGTTGAATTCATCTGTGTTCAGAGGTAAAATTAGATCTTATTTCAAAGGTCCATTGTGAACGATTTAGAGGGATATATTGACAGAAACAGAATAATATAAAAGGTATGTTTTCTTTAGTGTATAATTTCCTGAAAATAAGGATCCCTGTGTTTTCATTACCTTAGAAAGAACCATTTTTTTCTAAATAAGGAGCAGGTCCTCGTCCACAGAGTTAGGACAGGCAAACCTTACACTGGCTCTAAATAGGGCCATTTGCATTTTCGTGTCAGCCACCTTACTTCACAGCCCCTCCAAATGAGAGTCAGGTGAACACTGATTTTTTAATGTGAAACTGCTTTTTTCAGTGTGTTTACTGGTATAAATCAAGGGGTCTAATGTTTTTGGAGAGGAAAAGACCTCTGATAATTCGGCGCCAGGTAAAAACCTCCTAAACCTATGGATGTTATGTTATCAGCAGTTAAAGTTGAGCGCACATTAGCAGGTGCTGGGATGGCAGCCCATCTGGGACGTGCTGAACAGCGTAAGAGAAAGACTCAGCTGGTTCAACTGGTTGCAATCTGTAAACCCCCCCTAAATCTTACAGTCTGTTCCTCTGAGTAAAAGTAATGCAATACTGCGGTATTTACTCTAGAACGTAAAAAAGTACATCCTGTAACACTCACTCACTGCTAAAAATAGATGTTGGTATGTCTTTTTCCTGAAATTAACAGGACAAATTGTTGATAATGTGTCAGTATACCAACGTTCAGCAGTCACAGAGATATTTTTACATACGAAGTAGACACAACTTTGCCCATCTACAGCAGCTCCAACAGACCGGAACAGAGCAGCCTCGACTCATGCTGTGATTTGAGAACAGGGAATGACTCTCATTTTTCTTGATGATTCCAGCTTCATCTCCTGCTGTAAGATAATGCATTACCCACGGCTAAAATCCATCTAATTCACAGACTCTCAGCAGGCTGCATTGTGGGCCATGTAGGAAAGCCCTTAATGGCAAATGAGGCAGACAGCGATGTGGCTGCAACAGAAAGTAAATTAGAGGGCAGTCACAAAATAACTGCAGGAGTGCAGTGAATATAGAAGTATATTTAGGGAGGAGTTTTCCCTTCCAGCAAGATTTTTAAACACCAGCTGGTGAAGACAAGACTTTGATTCTGCAGGGCAGCTTGTGAAGTGTGATGCAAAGCAGGCACTTGGTGAAAACATTAAAATGCCAGAAAAACACCTGCCATCATAACTTTAATACTTTGATTAAATAACTCAACGACCAAGCAGTCAAAGCCGTTTCACAGAATGCACTAACTGTCCTTTCAAATGCAAGCAACCCAAGACAAATACTGTGAGTTGGGGTTTGAGTTTTTCAAATTTCCACTAAAGTACTTTTTATCTGCCAACATGCAATCATTGTAATGTCTCTGCTTTAACTCATACCCCTTTGGGAGAACAAGTGAATGACCACCAACTGTTTAGTGCTGCCATATCCTGCTTACTCAAAACAGAAATTAAATTATGTCCACTGAAAAGACCCGAAATTATCTGCTGTCTCAGTGAGTGGACAATTGAGGGTCACCCATTCACAGTTAAGTTTACAGGTGGAAAAAAAAATCAGAAACTTACACTGTTATACAATGTGACATAATGAGCTATTTCATATTTACCAACACATCAACACAGGTGACAATCTGACTGGGTACATACATACCTGTTCTCCTCAAGGAGCTGCTGTGCTGCTAAATCCCCCGTTTGACTGGTGTCAATCTGGGTAGCTAATGTTATGTTAGCCAAAGAAAAGTCCAGTTTTAGCGTTGTCTTGCTGCTTTCATGTTTGGTAATCCTCTCAGAAAAATGCTTGAGATTCTAAATGCCTGTTCTCTTCACCAGGTAAATTATCATCCTCGCCGAATAAAACACAGGGAAGCAAAAACCATCTTCGCTAACAGTTAGCCATTTTGTTCCCGAAAAACACTCCTCGTTAACTCTGATTATTTCGACCAGGGGTTTGGTTTATGACAATATTCCGCTGCAGGTGGGCACCAAGATGTCTAATCTGTAGTTTGTCATCAAAAAGTAAACTGTAAAATTAATGCTTTACCGTTGTAACCCTAAGGTATAACAGTTAACAGATAACGACGACAGCAATAGTTACAACAGCTTCGGGCATGCGCATTGTTGTTTTCCCGCATTCGGGGCACTTGACGTTGTGCGCATGCGCCCCAACCGTCCAGCGCGTTTAAGACTCCATTTTAAAACTATTAAACTGATCTTAAATTGTACAATAATAAGAAATGACAGCAGCGAGGATTGTTTATGTAGTGAATTAATTCAGAATTATATCAATGTCTAAATTACTAAGTACTATTAAAACCATATCTCTTTCTGCCGCCAGCAGGTGGCGCTTTTTCCTATGATCTCGCTTGTACCCATTCAGTCTATGCCTTTGGACACTTTGGATAAAAGCATCCACATTTGTTTCTATCAGTATGTTTCTGTTATGTTTTCTGTATTGTAACTTTTATGGCTAATTAAATCCTAAGATCACTTAAAGTTATAATGCAGGTGCAGCAATTTCAAGTTAGGTTTCCAGAAACACTTTAGGCTCAGGGGCGTAGCACCAAATTCTTGGCCCTATGCATGAGCCGTCTCTGTGGGACCCTGCTCTTCCTCTCTTGATCGACGTCACTCTCACGCACCTTTACAGTTTGCTGTCTTTTCTTCTTTGGAACCCTGCTTTCCATATTCTGGGGAGACATTATAATGTACATTAGTGCTCCAGCAGCACAGGTAGTCACCCACTTGGCCAGTGATGTAAGGAAGTGATGATGGACCCCAGTGCATGCTATCGTGCATGTATTGTCTTGACACAAATAGAGACTTGACATTGGACAACATCAACACACATATTACATCACCCAACAATTGTCATTACATATCTGACAAAAATATATATATAAAAAAAAACATTAAATTGTTCTTAGCGTTTTATTTTGTGGCTTGTGTAAAAAAAAAAAAGCATATAATTTTGCTTTAGATAGCTACTGACTATTTAAAATAAAATAAATATAAAAAAGTAAGCTATGATGTTGATGGGTTTGCCTTTTTGAGGACATATAAAGCAAATGGAACCATTTTTAAATTAGGAGCATTCTTTTTTTTCATATCTCTATTGTGTATATTCAAGGTGACAATTTCAATCACTTGCAAGGGCCTGCTCTCTCTTTGAGCCCCAGTGCAACCACACTGCCTGCACTGTCTATACTTCCATACCCCGCACTTGACTCTAGATGCAATTAAAGACGAACCCTGGGTGGACTAAACCAATTTGCACCCTTGAGGGCTGAGAGCGGTCTCAGATGGTTTCCACTGTTTTTGTGTACAAAGTTTAGTCTTTCGGCCAACTTGTTTTAGATTAGTTATGACACTAATTACTTAGAAATTAAAAAATGGCAAACAAAACCTTTTCATTGCAAGCTTTTCGAGAGCCCTCTCCCAATGGGGTCCCTGGTAATCAGTCCCAATTTTCCTGCCACCATGACACCCCTAATTAAGCTTACAAACAAAGGAATGTGGCTTTTAGATACCTTAAATACATCCTAAAATCTGGGGTAAAATATTGTATTGTTGTTTTCATAGCAATAATGCATAGCTCACCAATTTCTTTTCATGTTACATCATGGTACAAGAGCTAAAATTACCACCACAACCACTCCAAAAATTGAAATGTGTATTTAAATCTGTTGTAAAAGTCATGTCACAGTCAGCTGT